TAGTTGTTAGAGGAAAAATGTGGAGAGTAAACTGACCAAGGCTCAGCAGCAGACAAATGCCTGGTTTAATGTGTGATATTCTAAAAACCTATAGGTATGTTGTGCACATGGCACTTTTGCTTTACAAAATAGATAATTTGCAACTTGGGACCAAAAAAGCTTCCAGCAAGGGCTTTTTGTCTGATTTGGAACCAGGAGATGGATGGATCTGAGAAGAGGAGAGAGAATGAAAAGACCATATTAGTATGGATCCAGGTCATCTGTTGAAGGCCATCTTTCAGCTTGACTGAAAGCTGAGGTTGGCAGCATTTCCAAAATTCCATTCTGTTAATATTGAGAATTAAAACTTCTAATAGATTTGTAGTTGTAAAATATGCAAAGCATAGGAGATACAGCTTTGAGAAAGAGTGTGCATTTGAATGTGTTCTGTATGATATATTCTTCAGAATACCTGAACTCTCTAAAGGTATATTATAGATGTTAGAGCACTTCTTCCACAATGGGTTGGCAAAGTATACGAGTTCAACAGTGAGATTACATCATCTAACTTTCCACATGAAAATTTCTAAGTTCTGAAATCTGTGGGTACTGGGAGAATAGTTCTATGTGAACTAGTTCAAGTCCATCATGACTCACACTGAATCAAAGCTGTTCTGTTGGACTTTTGATGTCTGCACTGTGCTGCTTGGCAGTTTAATTTGGTGGGCTCTGTTTGTTCAGGTTGTGCAGCACCAAATGGAAGAATCTTCACCTAGCCCTGCAACCAGGGCTGCATGGGAGCTGCTGGAGACCCAGGTAGATACGGGGTTGGTTAATGGAAAAACTGTCACAATTTGTCCCCTCTAGAGCTACTTTGAGAAGCATCTCAGGTCTGTCGGAATTGGAGTTGTGCTGTGAGTAGTGCCAGAGACTGCTTTATGGACTCACGGTGGCTATAGAAGCAGCGCTGTGCAAGTGTGCTTGTGCTCTGACTGAAATAAATCTGTAGAATCATAGAATAACCTGAGTTGGAAGGGACCTACAAGGATCATCAAGTCCAACAGCTGTCTCCACCCAGGACCACCCAAAAATCAAATCCTGTATCTGAGAGCGTTGCCCAAATGTTCCTTAAATTCCAGCAGCTAAGTTCCATCCCCACTGCCCTGGGGACCCTGCTCCAGGGTCAGACAACCTTCTGGTGTAGAACCTTTCCCTAACCCCCAGCTGCCCTCCCCTGGCACAGCTCCACGCCGTTCCCTCTGGCCCTGTCGCTGTCACAGAGAGCAGAGCTCAGCGCTGCCCCTCTGCTCCCTGTGAGGAGCTGCAGTCGCCATCAGGCCTCCCCTCAGCTCCTCTGCTCTGGGCTGAGCAAAGCCAGGGACCTCAGCCACATACATCTTGCCCTTTGGAACCTTCACCACCTCTATAGCTCTCCTTTAGATCCTCACTAATGGCTTTATGTTATTCTTATACTGTGGTACCCCAGACAGCACAAAGTGCTTGAGATTGCAGAGACCCTGAGATACTTAAGCATTAAACCAGCATTGTCCTGTTGCATGTTTGATGTACAACCTAGATGACTTAGAGTTAACTGTACTCTGCTGCAGAAGTTATGATATTATATAGAGCTATTGTTCAATTAGTTTTCAAAGCTGGCCTGCTTTGCTGCACTTGGACCAAGTTGCTCACCATTTACAGAGGGTCAGCATTCTTTTTACACAGGTTATTGATGGCTATCAGGTGAGAGAGATTAAAGAAGATGTCCCAAAGGATTTACAAGCGGTGAGGCATTGTGTTGCACCCTGGGAAAGGAAATGACTTGAGGCAAGAGTTTTAGATATGATGTGGGTCTGATGTGCTGTGTGTGTTTTTGGATGAACACTTTTCATCTCTAGGCATGTGAACTCTATGGTATAAAGTACTGTGGGTTTTTTTCTCCTTTGTTTTTCTTTTGAGTATGCCAACAGCAGAAATTAGCCCATCCTTCATATTGTTAAATATTTCCTGCCTTTGGGAGAATTCGTGTTGAATGCATTTCTGTACAGAAATCCTAAAGAGGCAATTCTCTGCAGTTTCTGTGAATGCATCACCTAAAACAGCAGCAAAATCAAATCCTGTAAAATGAAATGAAGTCACCATGAAGTTCACCTCGGTTGGAAAGGACTGTTAGTTCTCAGCGTTTTGTAACAGTGTATGCCTGTGTTGATGAGTGTTCCACATATAACAACCAAAGTGAATTATTAAATAAAAATGCACCATTTTGAGAGGCTGACTGTGTATCTAAACAAACAAGATGTATTTATGAACGCCTTTGCCTGCGGTTTTGGATTGTTCACTTGTGAAGTTGTTCCATTGGGAGAGGCAAAAATGTGATAATCTTAATATATAAGTTTATAGAGCTTCTTTATGAAAGCTGGTTAGCTCAGTTGCTCTTGAACATGCTCAAAAAGCAAATTACCATAAATGTATTGATAGTTTAAAAGGCAGACTTAGCACTTAGCCGTAGCAGCTTATTACAAGGAGTCTTAACTGTTTTTGAAATCCAGTAATTGAAATTGTTGTATTTTGGCAAATTATCAAAATCAATTTCCTTTCACAGGAATAGATTTTCATATATTTGACTTCTCTGCAAGAAACCTTTCCTCGGTGCAAGTTCTTTCATGTTTGAATGACATGGTTCAGCTGCAGCTCAATCACAAACAGTTCTAGTGGTTTGAAATTCATTGAGTGGTGATGTTACTTTCTGAAGCCTGAGTGCCTTGCAGTGCTCAGCTACAGTTCAGTGGCCCCTCTTTGAGTACCTAGGGAAGGGGAGGGGAGGGAATGAGCCTTAAAAGACTAAATCACTGTTGAGAGATGTGAATTTGTTCTTTTTCTTAGGTTTTTTTCTTTTTTAATTGTGATTTTTTTGTCTTAGTTGACCTCTGTTCCTTGTGGCAAAGATCTTTTTAATTCTTTTTTCTCCCTGTATCGTTTTATGGTACTAGGCACTAGATAAACAAACTTCTATACTGAATTCCCCAACTGTACTCTAACAGAAATATTTTATGTAGGTTGCTCTCAAAGTAATGCCTTCTATTTATTTCCATGGAAAGTGCAATGGATACAAAGTGCACAGTAACACTACTTGGTAAAGCAAATCCTCAGCTATAAAACGTTGTTTTTCAATATAGTCGTTACCATTTTTTTTAGCTATGTGTTTTTGCCATGATGAACAAGACTGCATACTGCGCTCATAAAAATCTGCATGGCTATCTGGAACGTGGCTTGTCTTTCACATCACTGTTGCCCCTGCTGAAATGCACCACCTACCACCTCACTGTGCTCACATCCACTGGTTGGTCTCCATAAACATTCAGGAAGCCAGTGAATTTCATTGTGCTGTTTTTTCCACATTGAGGAATTCAGTGACACACTTCTGCTTCATCCACACTTCCATGTCAGACTCCATTCTGTCAGACTGCCCCTCAGCTGCCATCTGTCACACGGCAACAACATGCAATGAAATACTGGTAGGAAGATTCTACCTCTACAGCCATACCACCAACATCTGCCTCTGACTTTGTAAGCCAACATAATAAAAAAGGAGGGATTACTTTCAGAGCAGCCCTCGTAATTTGCCCTCTGGAATTCAAATTATTCCAAATTGAGAACTTGTGGAATAGATTTTTTTTTTCTCATCCCTGCTCTTTATGAAGTTTCTCTGGTCGTGGTGTTGTCCACAACACTGGGCAACAAATCTGCATCAAGAAATTCACTGCTGTCTTACTTTGGTAACTTGTCAGATTATTTCTTCAGGTAACTACAGTATTGGTGTGATTGTCACCCAGCCATCACGAGTAGTGATTCACTCATCCATCTCCTGGAGTATTCTTTCAATCAAGAGAGATGATAATTTTGTTTCTATTTCACAAGTGTTTTCCACCTGAAATGATAAGTTTGTGCATCAACTTCACCTCTGTTCTTCCTATTTTCTTACGAATTGCTATGACAAAGTTAAAACAGTTCTGAGGCAAATTTTCATGAAAATATCCTATGTGCTCACTTGTTACAGCCCGTTGAGTCACTTCACTGATTTTGGTCTCAATACAGTGGGTGTTTTTCAAGGTACCACTTACAGTACTCAGCTTTAGTCACCTGAAAAGCATACACTCTTATGTTTGCCAGCTGATACAAACTGGGTTTTTGTTAGTAAGTAATCCATTGCTCATCTTTTTCTCTGTGAGTTAGTGTGGACTTAGCTCATGAGTAGGTATTTAGTTGAATTCTAAGAACTAGAAGGTTTCATTTCAGGTTAGAATTTTCATGTTCAAGAAGCCTGTGTTGTGTGTCCTGATAGAATGTGGTCAGATGCTTCTGATGCCAGCTTTTATAGTATATGTGCTCTGACAGCTGTATTCTATTAGTACGGCTGTACATGTTTCTTTTTTTTTTTTTTTCTTTTTTGTTTTCTGTGAAGAATACACAACAGGATTTGTCATTACCTTCAGGGAATTTGTTAAAACACTGTAAGGCCAAGAGTGAGTTTAGCTGTGATACCTGAAAGGTCATCTTTTTCCTTTTTGAGACATGGATTGTGTGCTTCAGTACTGCAGTACACTTAAAATGTACTCCCTCTTCATTTAAGGGGACTGGCAGCAGGTGATGAAGTATTCTTCCAGAAGGCTTCATGGTTTGGAGCTCGTTCCATGCAAGTCTGGATATAGCACTTAGGAGAACACATTGTAAATTCTTGTCTCCAAAAGCTTAAAAAAATCTCAACTGTTGTATTTATTGATAATGCAAGTGAATCAAAAGGCCACAACAGGTTTAATTTTGATATACTATTTTAATGAAATACTTTCAGAGAAAGGTATATAGATATATATGTATATGTATATATCATTTTGGTGGTGGTGGTGTTTTAATTTTTTGTATTGAGTGTTAATGCTACTAACTGCTGTATAGAAAGTTTTAGCCTCTTGTTGTAAAGCCTAAGCTTTATGTGTATATACATATGTTCTATGTATATGTGCACACAGGAAACCTCGACCCGTCTCTCAGCTGGTTGCACAGCAGGTTCCTCAGCAATTCGTGCCCCCTACACAGTCAAAGAAAGAGAAAAAAGACAAAGTAGAAAAGGACAAAAGTGAAAAGGAAACAACTAGCAAAAAGAACAGTCATAAGAAAACCAGGTAAAAACTTTAGCAACTCTTGCTGTATTGGTAAAACATAATTAGAAAAGCAAATATGAAAAAAATGTTCTGTGATTTTACTGCTTTGTGAGTCCTGTGGCATACTCTTTCAACAGTAATGCTAAATGTTTGAAGTTCTGTTGTTGTAGGATGCCTATTATGCACAATGAAAAGTTGCAGTTTGTTGTTTTAACCAGAAGATGGAGACTGGCTGAATTTAGAAAGAGTTGGATATTTTTGTTAAGGGATTCAACTGCTTTTTTTTCACACCACATAAAATGGTAGATATGCAAAACATGATTGCTAGGCTCAGGAGAAGAGAGGGAACTGGAGGGACTAATTATCATGCAGAATATTGCTGGGAGAGGCAGGAGGAGTGGAGAAGAAATGGGGGTAAAAAGAGACAGGGAAGAGAGATGGAGGGAGAGAATGTATCTCATTACAGGAGAGTGGGAAGGTGACATAGTTACAAAGAGATTTTGAACTAGGGTAGAAATTAATGTGACAGGGTAAGATATGTATGTTACCTAGTGATAAAAATCCCAGTGCTATTTGGGATGCTGAATGAAAGTTTTGGACTCTTGGAATGGAAGTCATGACACATTACAGTACAAGCAAGCCATTGTAAAAGCCTCCTTCTTGACCAGAAGAAAGCTCTGAAACAAAGGCAGCAAATCCAGCCTCCAAACCATCACTGCCTAAGCATAACATTATTGCAGCAGAAATGTGGTGCCAGAAAGCTCAGCAGTATACAAGACGTGTAGTCTAATCAAAAGTGGGAGGAACTATTGATTTCTTTTGGAAGCATTCCAGAATAGTCCAGCCAAGGAAGATCCTTTGGGATTAGTTATGCAGAGAAGTAGCAGATGCTTCTCTTGTGCCTGAAATAGGATCATCAGGATCAGAAGCTGGGAGAGATTTTGAGTCAGGAGAGTACAGGCTTTAAAATAGTTACAGTTAGGATTAAGGAGACTGAGATGTTCCAGCAGGAAGAATGCATTTACATTTTTCTCTAATACTCAGATGTACTGTCTGTCTTACCACATGCAGTTGAAGCACTTCAGTTAAAAAGTACCTGAAGTTAAAATAGTAAATATTTATGAAGCTAATTAAATATTATAAATGGAAATAATCATTATTGGATTGCAGTAGTACATTAAAAATGCAAAAGAGAGGCAGGGAAGAAGAGCAAACACTTAAAAAAAAAAAAAAAAAATCTTGGATGAAATACTGGTATTGAGATTTGCATTAAGGATGGCTATTGGAAAAAACACTTAAGCACTTCAAACAGTTTTTCACAGATTTGATTCACTGGATACAAATGCTTAGTTAGTTTAAGCAGATTCCTTCAATATCCTCTTGGGAACGAGGATATTCTTTTCTCATTGCATGAAAACTTGTATATTATTGCTGGAAACAATCATAAAATCTGAATGCACACTGAATATGATTAACAAGCTTCAGGCACACCACTTATGCAGGTTGATAATGCTGAACTTTTCTCTGTTCGCATGCTATAGAGCAGCAGCTTTTCAGTTCTTTTAGATTCTTCAGCTGCACTACTTCAGCCCCAAGGGAACAAGATGTCAAATCCTTGTTCTATTCTAGCAGAGGAAAAGCAGAAGGTGTTTCAGCTAAAGTGGCTGGGAACCAATTCTACTTCAAACAAAGTCAGATGATAGGGTAAAGGTTAGGACTTCGCTGTTAGCACACCTGCTAACATATGATGTCATATGAATTTATTTCATTGCAGCTTGAGCTGGTGAAAGCTGTGGAGTCAGTTAAGTGCACAAAGATATGCCATTCAAAATTGCTTGTATAAATTCACCTGTCTCATGACAGTTTGCCATGGTAGTCAAAGGCAAATTCTGAATTTAAAGTCCTTTATGCTCATCACTAGCAAAAATGTGATGGCAGAATATCATTCAGTGTTCTTTTATGATTCTTCATGTTGTGAAAATCAAACAAATGAAAGAATAGATGAAGAGACTTAATTTATCTGTGCTATATGATTACTGAGCTCTTTGCATATCTTAAATCACAGCATGTGTTAGGGATGCCAGAATTATTCTGTGAAGGGCAATATAAATACTGCACTAGCAGTCTTATTGAGATTTTTAAATGAAATACAACTGCTGCACTTCTGTGTGGAATTTGTAGCTAAAACTGCATTGTTGAAATTCAGAAGGCACAGGTGAGCTTTTTGGACACCAACATCCTCATTAGTGAACACCATTTGCTACCTAGAATTGTTGCTTAAGGCTGCTGCAGGGATGCATCCTTTCCTAGGTCAGATTTATAACTTCTAGCCACAGTAATGAAAATCACAATAAAATAATAATTTAAATAAAAATAAGTTGCACATGTGAAGGTTTGTTTTGTCACACAGTTAAAATATTCACGCTCTAAGTTTTCACATAATCTTAGTCGAAGGTGGAAAAGGTGTTATTGTCACCTATTTTTAAACTTATGGGCAATCCTCTATCATAAAGACTTGTGCTACACTGTCATCTTATGTACTACATGTTCCACAAAGCAGTATTATGCAGATGTTACCTGTATGTTCCCAGAGCTCCTAGTAAGAAGGAGAAAGACAAGAGAATGAGATGGTGTGTGTGTTTCTAACGTGATTCATTATGCTTTCTTTAGGCCACGATTGAAAAATGTGGATCGAAGTAGTGCTCAGCATTTGGAAGTTACCGTTGGAGATCTGACGGTCATAATTACAGACTTTAAGGAGAAAACTAAGTCACCACCTGCTTCCAGTGCTGCTTCTGCAGATCAACACAGTCAGAGCGGCTCTAGCTCTGATAACACAGAGAGGGGAATGTCCAGGTCATCTTCACCCAGAGGAGAAGCGTCGTCACTGAACGGGGAATCTCATTAAAGTTTATTTCCTCCAGTTTCTTTAGTCTCTTCTCTTTACAACATGCAAATACGTAACTTCTGCCACCTGTTGCCACATTTTCATGACAGATTATCCATGCACAATTGGTATGTTTACTGAAACATAATTTATGCAGTTTAGAAAGAAGAAAAAAAATGCAGTGGTAGAAATAATTTAAATGCAATCTAAAAATGCTTACGAAGCATTTTCAGACCAACTGTTTAATCTTTGTGTGTAAAGGTGCCATGAAAATGTGGTTTGAATGTTCATACACAGTGTTACTGGTAAGTCCATCTTCACTTTTAGTTTAGTGAATTCTAACAACTCTTGGAGTCTCTACTATTGGCATGTACTGAATTTAAATTTTTATAACATAGTTCAAGCTGCCTAAATATGTATTATCTGAAAATTGTGAAACATAGTTATATGTATGCAAGTCAAAGATCAACTTAATCAACTATTGCTGCAACAGAATTTTCGTAATAATTATCTTAAAAACACCTGCTGGTACTTGGTGTGGTTAAATAGGAAAATGTTATTAAATAAAACATTTGTATGAATTTTTGCCAATGTTTGACACATTTTACTAGATTACTGTTAATGAATTATGTTAATGGTTTTACCAATATTTTTTCACACTTAAAACACTTATTGAAATGTTTACAAGCAAATACAAAAAAAAAAAAAAAAGTAAATCCATTCTAGACATCAATTGGTTAACTCTACAATTCAGGAAAACTCACTGTCACTATACACTGGTATTCTACGTTTAACCTCACATGACAGCATTTGGCAAAACTAACATTGGGAAACACAGAAGTTTGGTAAAGCTTTAAAAATTACTGAAGTACAGTTTTTGTTTCTGCTTAGTGCTGTTCCCTTGCCCCAGATTTACTTAGTGTCATATAATTGGTTACCATTTCATTACAGAAATACCAGATGTTGCACAAGAATGAGGAAATAACAATACTATTACTATTTTTTTTTTAATTTTGGATCAACCTCTTTTTATTTTGATTTGGCCTATTAGAAAATATTATGTCATAAATGATGTGTAAAAACCCCACAGTATCCTACTTTATGGCATAAACTGTCAATATTTTATGCACTTAGCAATATACTGATACAGAGCAGAACTATTTACAGTCCCATCTGGTATTATGTAAAATTACCAATAAAATATTTTTGTGAATACAGATTTTTGCATTTTTGTTTACAGCCAATAAGTGTTTTGATATACACACATCCAATCCATGTATAGATTGAAATTATATATTTGGTTGAGTACAAAAGTCCATTTAGCTCCTTTCAGTGAGATGGTCCACTTACACTCCTGTGATTCTTTTACTTTCTTTTCTTTTCTTTTCTTTCCTTTTTTTTTTTTTTTTTTTTTTTGCATTCAAAATGCATAAGTTTAAGCCAATGTAAAAGTTGAATGGACCTTTTTGGTAGTGAATCCTAAATTATTCCCAACATGTGGTACATCTTCATAACAGCTAAAAGAATGGATTTTTGTAGCCCCTGACAATTGTGATGTTTGGTGGTTTCTTGTAGTAATGTATTTTTCTGTTTTTAATGCAGTACTTCTACAGGCACAATAGTACTGTTCTATTTTGTAAGATGCTAGTTGTGAAATACAGTTAGTTGCATAAAATGAAAGTCTGATGTGATATCTGAGAACATACATACCTCATTCCTTGGTGTTGCTATTTAAACTTTTTAGACATCAAATGTTAATTATAGGCTATTTCAGGTAGATGACTACTGACCTGTTTATTATGTATTCTGCTTTATCTTACTAAATAGGATGTCTGTTCATTGCAGTTACTTGGCCAAATCTTAGTATCTGTAAAAAAAAAAAAAAAAAAAAAAAAAAAAAAAAAAAAAAAAAAAAAAAAAAAAAATGAAGGAAAAAAAAAAAGCATTTCAAGATTCTTAAATGTTTTTGGGGCTGGGCTGTTGTTCTGAATAACATATACTAGTTTTTAGGAAAAAAAAATACATGCTTCTCAAATTTATTTTTTTATGTTTTATTTTTAGGTGGGAGTATACTGGTGTAATGGATTACAAGAGAGCTGAAACTGTTTAAGCAGTGTAATGGTAGAATCACATAGCAAGATGTGTCATGAAATGTGTTTCTAGTTTAAATTGTAATGAATGCTAACACATTTCAGTATTCCTTGCAAACTAATAATAATCTATTACCAGTAGTTCACTAAGTGGGATATTTATTTTCATTTAACATTATGTGAATAGACCACCCAGCACTACCAACAAGGGGTCTCTTTGTATCTTCAGAAATAAGTAGCCATTTGGTTTGGAAGTAAGGGAGGATGGAGGGGACTTCAGTACGTTTCAACTGTCTCTAGAGAATAATCTCATGAATGTGGTACAAGTATAGTTATAGTCAAAAAGAATGCAGAAAAGTCTTATGGAAATTGCTGTTCTTTATGGAATAAGAACAGAAAAGCAATTTCTGACTACAGATATAACAGATAAAAGGCAGGACAGCTAGGATCTAAAATTTGAGCTGTGGTGGTTCTAACTGAAATACTGTATAGCCAGTGTTTACGTTGGCAAAGATACCTGCTTTGGCATTAAACAAAGTTAAGATAATTTTTGTCTGTTTGTGATTAAAGGGATGTGACAATACTGACAGCACAGTAGACAAAATTCTAAGTAGAATATGGCAATTTGTTCATAATGTTCTAATTTAAATGAACTTCATAATTTCTAAGTAATTTTGACTTGCAGTAATCCTAAGATTTTTTTTAAGTGTAAATATATTTAAAAGCATCTTTACTCCATTTATGAAAAGTGAAAATTTAATGTTGTAATGTATTTTGATTAGCTATTTTACTCTGTGACTGTTCTCTCCATAAGAATTGTTGTTTGTAAAACTCTGTATATGCACCAGTCTTCAACAGCCATACATTCTGGGTTGCTTATGAGGTGATGATGCAACAAAGGCGAGGGTGATAATATTCCATGTAAATGAGTTCCTTTATGTGCTGATTGTCTGGCTTCAGTAAGGAAAAGGGGAAGGAAATGGGGGAAAATGGCCTATAATTAATTCACTGCTAAAGTGTATAACAATTTGGTCCTTTATCTTCCTAACTTTACCGCTAACTGTAGGTGGTGTAAGGAAAAGATCCACTGTTAGTAGACAGATCATTTCTTCTCAAGTTATGTTTGCATCTCGGAAAGGAACAAAACTTGTTCTGCTTAGTTAGCAGGTTCAAGTATGCTGTATGAAGTCTTGATTCTAACAGCAGTTAAAACAAAACTAAACAAAGAGAACCCTTCACCTCTCAAAGATTCTCAGTATTAAGTCTCTAAATTAAGCCTGAAGTTTTAAATTGAAGTTTAAAACTGTTTAAAGCTTCTCCATATATTTCCTGTTTTGTAGCAGATTGCAAAATCTCAAAAAATGTTTGGGGGTTATAATCCGTTCACTTCTTAAAATACGATGGATAGGATATTTTTCAGTAGCCATGTAAGACAATACTTTTTATGATTTGTTTCCACAAGTTCTTTACAGTGGTCAGGCAAGTCTTCTCGACTAGATATGCATATGGCTCTGCATCTTACGTTCTCTGGTTTTTCTCTCTCCTGTCTCAAAGGCACGATGGTTTTGAGTTGCTGATTGACTACTGCTTTGTTACACAGGAGGAATTTGGCACTGAATTGTCTATTGTGTTCTTCCATGTACATCCAGCATACTTTAACCATATCTGCATCTTTCTCTCTGTCACATGCCTTTAGTTGACTCTGCTGTCATTAGGGAGTCTTCCCTTCAGATATCAGAAACCATGTGGAAAGGGAAGTGCAGAGAGTTTCTTCTCCAGCAGCAGCAAGCACTATACTCATAAGCTTGTCCTGTGCTAACTCAGGAATAAGATAGATAAGGTAGAAAGTGAATGCTGTTGTTGGTGGTGGACCACTCGAGCATATTTTGCAAAAACATTCTTCTGTTTTAATGTTAAGATTTGGTTGTGCTGGAAATAGCATTTGAGCTTTCAAAGGTTTTTCTTGACTGAATTATGCCCCCAACTTATGACAGTGTTAGCTTCAAGGAGTATAACCTCATAAATGGGCAAAACCTGTACCATAAAATCAGTCGAATTGAGGAGAGCTTTGATGATTTTCTTTAGTACTGCCAAAATTCTAACCAGGAGATGGAGATTTGAGAGATTTTTCTGACACAGATACTGAATTTAGTTTGGTGTTTAAAAAAAAATTAAATAAATAAAAATTAAAAAATCATGCTTTCATACGAATTTACAGGATTTAACTATTAAAATAAAAATGTACAAGTTAATCACATATCAGTACTTCACAGAAATTATTGTAACTTCCTGTCTAGATGGAAATGAATGGAGTAAATGGTGCAGCAGCAAAGAATGGCTAGCAAATGGTACTATCCAACAGAAAGTGACTTGCCTTAGACTTTGTGCAGGAAGATTGTGTTGTGTCTGTGGACAAAGCCTAGGAGCCCATGTATGCCCCTCGTTGCCGTTGGTTTCGAACAGTGAAAGAAAATGCATCCAACAAAATAAATTAGCTGCACATCCTAGAGTCTTATTTATGCAGGAACTGTGTACAGTTGCTGTTTGATCATATAGGTGAAAAATACCTCCCTTGTATAATACTTGGAATTGAATTCCTTGGAAGTTGATTTCCATCCTAATCTTGCCCCTTTTATTATGGGAAATAAATGAGTGTCATCCAAAATAACTTGTTCTGTCCACTAACACAGGGAATTGTTAAGAGTAGACAGTTTAATGTGCACAAGAAGTTTTAGCTTTACTTTTAAGGAATTCAGTGTGAAAGATGAACATCAAAAGCTCCATAGCTCAAATTAGTATTCATAAGTGTAGTGTAGTCACAACTGATTGCTGTGACATTTTGTGTTTGTAAAAGGCAAAATGATAATCTAACCTAATCACTCCTTTTTCCCCTATGTTTGAAAAGAAAATGACCATCAGAGATGATACTTTTCTGATAACACAAATTTAAAGAATTTTTCCAAGATCCTGTTTGTTTTTTTTTTTTCTTTCCTTTTTTTTGGAGGGGAGTATGGTATATCTTGATGGAGATAGGAATTTCCAAGCAAGAAATCCTTCAGTAATGTGTTTTCAGGATCTGGCCCAGGTGGAAAAGATACATCTTTGCTTACACCATTCTCTGTTTATAAATACTGATAGTCAAAGTAGCCAAAGTGCTTGCAAAGTGAACAAGTTCCCTTAACGTTAAAATCTTCATTGTTGCTTGAGGCCAACTGATCTCTAATTTGCAGAGGACATATGAGAAGATAACTAAGGAAAAGAGCACGCTGATCTGTTTTTGCATAACCTGCTAACTGTGTGTCGTAATGTACCTTGTGTGAAGAAGCAAAAGTGTACTTGAACAGAAAGTATGTAAGCAGCACTGATGGGATCTGGCTCTCTATGCCCTTCTCAAATGCACCAGTCTACTAGCTGCAAATTCTGCTGGTTCAGAGGTAGGCATGGGTGCTTGATTGGTCACTAAAGCATCAGTTAGTTAAGCCAAATCAGTGATCAGGCCAAGATTCTACTTTCTGAACATCCACTTTGGGACTGCAGATATCTAAATTGTAATTGATCCGCAATCGATACACAACTGCCATCCCTGAGCATGAAATAGTCTGTGCCTAGCTGATGCTTCTTTGCAGAGAATAAATCAGAATGCTTCAATGTGAAGCCCAGTTCTCTTACTGTAACAGCCTTCAGCTGTGAATTAATCTAACCAAGGAAAATCTCTTGAGATTACATGTGTTTGTCTTACCTCTGAAGGGAATGCAGAATTCTGATTCTTTCTGTCTTTATTTTTATTGAGGTACATCTACAGGGTAACTGGATGCAGTGATTTTGAAATAATTTAATACATGACATTTCTAAATAGGAAATGTACTGCTGTTCACAGTTTTTCAGCTGTATCTTGGTTTCTGTAAGACTGTCAGTGCTATGTGGAGCTTGGAGACCATCTATCAGTACTGTCAGTCATCCATGTCTCTACATTATTGACTTAGTGAAGATATTCTTTCCGAACAAACTTAGTCTAATCCTGTAGCATTCAAGCATTCCGGTGGAGGTAGCTGGCTTTCTGGGATGCCAATACTGGTCTTCATACCTATATTTCTGCAAAGGGTCTGATTCTGTTGTGGGGCTCCCAAATGCAGAGGAATAAGCTAAATGCTTTCCCACTGATGGAGGTGTAACGCTGCTAGGTAACTAGATCTGAAGGTTTTTTTGCAAGGTTTGAGAAAATACTCTTGATGCTGGCTGGAGATAAGGATTCCTGGAGGAGCACATGCAGACACTGAGGACTACATTTCCTACAGAAATTGAGTAGGCAGCGTCAGTTTCTAAAATGTAAACAACTTCTAACAAAAAGCTAGAACAATACATAGAGAAGCTACTACACAATGACTTCTTTAGTACAGTGTTTTCTTCTGTGTACAGTATTGAAGGTAGGGAGTATCTCACACTTTGTGTGTTTTCTGTATAGCTCTTTATACCATTGACTTTCAGCCAAAAGACAGATACAGGTTTTTATGAATTTCATGATCATATCTCTCTTGGGTATAGATCATGTATTGAAAGGGCACTTGTTCTGGTTAAAGAGAACAAAATAGCTTCCTCGTCTACATTTAGATACTGCAGAGTTTTAGAGGGTTTGATTCCTGGGCTACTAGAAAAGGGATAACTTTGTGTTGGAAAGGTAGTAAGGATCCAGACTAGAATGGATGTGGCTCCTGAAAAGAATTTTGTGGCTGGCAGTTCATATGGCTGTTTTCAGTGATTAACCTACACTTTAGCCAGTTAATCTTGACGTGTTAATAGGGCACCATCACAGACAGATCAAAACTACCAACAACACTGTCGGATGCTCTTAAAATTTATTAAGTGCCTTATACAGAGCATCAAAGAGGCTATGATTCAATTGGAACGAAGTTTGTTAAGAGATCTACTCTCGGATGGAGTTACAAGTTGTTGGTTGTAACGAAGGTGATGTTCCTGGTTATGAAGCTAGAATCTTATATTTTATTGCTCATACAAATACCTAATAAGAAACAGTCCAGAAATTTCAGAGGCTTTCAATTCATAAAACATATGTTCTTTGGAGGAGATTTTTTTTTTTTCGTTGTAGCCAGCTGTGATAGCTTGCTTGGAATATCACAGAAGTGAATAAAACTTGAGTACTTCTGGATGCTTCACACTTCTCAATTTCCCAATCAATAGTAAAACTACCTTTCTTGAGAAGGGGTACATAAGTTGGTTTTATTCATAGGATTTATGTTTATCTTATATAGTTTTTAAGGGTTTTATTGTCAGAAAAAGGGCTTGTTATTTTGAAAATAAAAATCTTACCTGCCAGGTGTCTTCCCCAAGATGAGTAAGTGCCTTTTCTGTTCTGACTCTTAGAAGTATTTACGTTGTCAGATTGAATCTGAATGTCCTGGATAAACCAAGAACTAAGTACCAAGTGTTACCAATAGTTTGAAATCCTTTCACTGAAGGAACAAGAGACAGAATGTAAGCCACTTGAATTATTTTGAGACCTGATGTTATCAGAAGTTTTATAACTGCATATGAATAGTATACTTCTAAGAACAATATAACATTTCAGGAACTTGATATTGATTAGGAAATAAATATTTATTGAAGTAAGTATATTAAATAAATATTTATTTACCAATTTAAGTAAGAGAAAATTTTACACCGTGGGGGCAACAGTCTTGCTGTGAGCAGTCCTAACTACTTAACTGAAAGTAAACTGAGGCCCTGAACTCCGACTGTGAAAGAATGCATTTGGTGAGAGATTGGGACTGCGAACCTTAGGTCTACATTCTAACAGAGTAATTCTTCCCACCTAAGTTGTAACCAATTCTCAAGCAGGAAAGAAGGCGTGAGCAGATGTCAGTAAGAGGCCCTCTGGTATTATTGGTGCTGCTTCCTATCTCTAGAGGATTTTTTTTTTTTTAATCTTTGCTCAGGACTGGTACAGCTGAAAGTATATTTTCCCTTCATTCTTAAGCCTAGATTTTGAATGGAGTTTCTCTGAGACACTTTTGTAGTGAAATCGTATTCCCTACGAACATGGAAGACAAAAATAAACATCTCTGTAAACAAAAAGATTGTGTGTGGTTGTAATTTTTTAAAATACATATTTTTTGCGATAAAAATTTTAAAGGTGCTCTAAGCCAAATGCAACCATTATAATGGTCTGCACTTAGAAGGCAGCAGTCAGAAAATATTGCTTATATCCTCAGATGCCACAGAATTTCTGTCTGGTAAACTAAGTTCAGTCCCAGAAATGCTCCTTTAAATAAACAAGGCAATGCAGTGCGTTTAGCCAAAGTCTGTGTGTAGTAACACAGTAAGATACTGCCTTATACTGGCCTCGTCCTGACTTCAGTTCAAAGACATTTTATTGAATGAGTTAAAATTCTGCAAGCAGAGGGGAAGGGGCTAGAAAGAAAGAACGGGTAGGAATCAGTGCAAAGATTGTTTTCCAGAATAAGTGCACACAGTCAGTGATAATAGAGTTGTTTAGAAGCAAATCATTCTGTCATTATTTCACAGCTTTGAAAAAAAATACAATTAGTTTGCAATGAGTATAAATAGATGTGTTTGAAGCCCAGTGTAACGATACGCATTTAATTGACTTCCGCAGGGATAAATGCTTCTTGGCTATGAAGAAACTAACAAGAAGGTACTTTCAGTGAAAATTTTTCTGCATGCACTATATTCAGTCTTGACTGGCAGTAGTCAATGCTTATGGTACGTCATGGTAAATAAGAAATTGTACAGAACCCTTCTCTGAAAGTGTTGCTTGAACTGGCTCAGAAGTAGTGCAAGAAATCTAAGTGGGCAACTTGGGAATAAGTAGCAGCTTGTCTGATAGGGAGTCTACTTCCAAAAGTCCAGGTGGGTTCTGCTAACAGACTGGCATGGGTGATTAATTAGCTCTTGGAGCTGTGATGGAAATTGAGATACTCCACTGAGTTCTCTTCCCAAGGCAAGGAACTATGAAAGCATTAATTATATATACAGTCATTTTTAAGGGAATTCTAAGAAACAATTCAGTGTTGAATTGTCTGAACTGTTTGTCATTTCTGTTGCTTTGCAACGTGAGGCTGAGATCCTACAAGCCACTGTTGAAAGAAGCTGGTTCCCTCATAAATGGTGTAGCAATTGATGCAGTTGTTGGCCCTGAATATATATATATGCTCATCCTCACTCCGTGTGGGCAATATGTGGAGCTGATGCATCCTCAGGTGCACAACACTTCTAATGTTACCTTGTGAGTTCTGGGTATAATCCCAAAGTGCAGGCAGCATGTGGTAGCACAAATAAATACCAAGATTTGTATTAGTAAAAATATCAACTTACATAAAGAGCAGCAATCTTCAATGCATTTGAGATGAAGTTGGTATTGGAAATCAGAATAGGGCTATTGTCGCTAATTAAAGGACTCTAATTTAGACCATTTACTTGTCTATTTTAGAAGAACGGCAGGCATTCAAAAGAGGAGACTAGTTTTTTAAAGCCTTTCTATTCAGTTTTGTTCCCTCTGTTCACTGTTTAGTAAGGCCATTACACCATCATGGGTCTGAAGATCAAATTTCATGAATTCCACACACATTTTGGCAGCTGTGGGAGATCACAGCATTCTGTTTGTGCCTGGAGATAGCTTAGTATGGTCTCCAGTTTTATTTTACCCTTTCTTGACTTGAAGGAATGTAAAAGCAGAAGAAATAAATCTTTCTAAAGTTGCAGATGAAAGATGGGCAAAGGCTGAGCGATTTGTTAGTGCCATTATTAGTCAGCAGTGCTTGAAGGGCCCTTGGCTGGTTGGGACTGGGCCATGCAGTCCTGCTGCTGCTCGCAGGTTTGGCTGCCCCACGTGCAGTGGGACAGTCTGTAATTCCAGTTCCAGTGACACTGGAGATACAGCAGTTAATGTCCATGAACTTCGGTGGAGTGGCATATGGCTGTAACAGGCAAGCTGCTCACAACAACTACTTCTTTGGGCTTCACACACAACAATCTACTGACAAGGGATGAGGATATTTGGTACCTAAGCCTGCTATGTAGCTTAGGCATTGATCTGCCGTGTAGTTGTACTATGCAGTTTTAGAAGGGGTGGCCAGTATAAAAGGAAGTATTTTAACTTCTTCCTAGTAGTTCAAGCACTAAGTATTTTAAACAGATAGTACTTCTGGCTGATCTAATCTGGCTTTGAATTACTAATTTTAGCAATAAAGCAACCCCTGGTGAACAGAATGTGAAGAGAGAGGACCATTATGAATTTATTGCCATGTCCCTCCATTAGTTTCAGTGTTAAACTCTACTTGGAACACGATACAGAGCAAAAAAACACAACAACAACAACAAAAAAGAACAAGTTGGCTTGGCCAGAAATTGACTTGATTTTTGAACAGGGGCAAATGGCCACCCTACCTGCCTCTCTGCTTCACACTTACCTGGCTTGCAGTGCTGGCTGACTTTCAGAGCCCCTGGCAACAATCCTAAGCTTCTTTTCTCTTCCTAGAGCAGCTGGTGGTTGCAATCCAACTTTTTTTTCATGTTAGCTGTTTGCTAGATGCAGTTTTATTCTCCTGGTCACAGCCATGCAGGCTTTTTGTACTTGGGAGTTAGTATGTCATTAAAATGCATAAAATATATCAAATATGAAAAATAAGCTAAATAAAAAAGCAGTGGTTTCCTGTCAGTAGTCCAAGGATCTCACGAGTTCATATGTTCCTTCTATGAAGGAGCCTTACAAAAAAAAGTAGGATGAGCATGCTTATTATAAGTAGCATTAAATTCACTGTGTAGAGTCTGCACTGTTACTGTCAAGTGGAAAATGTGGAAAATACCTTTCAGGATTAATTTCAAATTAGTTGATGTACTTCATCTTCAAAATGGAGCCATAAAGCCATAATACAAAGTTGTTACTGCGTGTGATTAGTTAGCAAATATTTATTCCATTGCAAGAAAAAAAAAGATGGTGGATTTTAGAAGACACTGATGGAGGGAAGAGACTCAGAGCACTTGATGTGTCATCAAACCACAGCAAAACAAGTAAAGGACTTTTAAACTGGAATATTTTTACATAAACAAACAAACAAACACAGCCATAAAGCCAGGCCAACCTGCCTTATTACTGTATTTTCATACATGGTACTTAAGTAGGTAGGACTTCTCCCAGGAGAATTTTAAACACAAACAGCTGTGCCAGATGCTTCTTGGAGAATTTTAGATTTGACAAAAGCCCAACAGTGAGAATCCTCTTTGGACGGATCTCTTGGAGTTCCCAATTTGGAAAACGTTACAGGAAAAAAAAAATCTTCAACACTGAAAAATACATAAAAAGAAAATTCTATCTACACTTTTAGAAAGTATTCTTTCTGCTTCTGTAATGTAGGAGAGCACTAACAATTGTACTAGGTTACATATACACCTGCATGCTTATTTATTTCAAAAAAGGAAATTGAGATTTTTTTAGGACAAATAATACAAGTACTTTATAACTTGCAACTCCTCCCAGAAGACTTCACATACATTGAAGATTGATAAAGTAATAATTCTTTATTGAAATTGGAAGAAACCAGGAAATTTTATAAAGTATCACAGCACTTCACAATTTGCTTACAGTGCAGTTTACTTAATTTTGTGTACTGCTGTCCTCAGGTATGTATAATCCTGATATCAAAAATATTGTAAGTTTCTTCTTATCAGATAAGTTGGTTAAATGGACTGCAATACAAAATAAGGAGAACTAAAAAGAGACAGAATGGATGAACACAGTGATATTCTAGCAATCAATGAAAATTAATTTTGAGAAATTTTATTAACTTTTTTCTTTTTTTTTTTTTTTTTAATTAGGGCTGCTGTAGGGAAATTTGAACAGCAGAAACCATAAGAGTGGAAGGCAGCTGTACCAAACTAAATTCTTGCCTTAAAAATGAATTTGAAAGAAAGAAAAACGATGTCTGGCAGCAACAGACAAGGAACCAAGAAGTCTGCTGATGCCATATGCACAACACGTGGCAGAAAGCAGTTCCTCCTTGCTCACCAGCCTTACAATCCATCACAGCAAAGTGTTGACACTGCAGGTTGTACAAAAGGGCATGTGAACATCAAAGAAAATGTCTTTGCCTTTGAAAAACCCTCAACTGGTCTGCACGCTTGGCAGCATTGACATGAATCTGTCAGCACAAAATCTTATTACTTTGCCAACTTAACTGATGTTTTAACTTCCTGAAAGTACAAAACCAGAAGAAATGCTACAAGTGCATCTGATTAGGACTGGGCTTTCTAATTAGCAGAAAGTTTGTGTGGAAATTGATGTCTCTCTTTGTTCTCTCAGTTGCATCAGATAATCCCCTTCCATAATTCTGAATTATATCTGTATTTTACTTGATCTAATTTATCTCTTGATCTGATGCATAGCTAGGATTTTGGTTTAATTTTATGGCTGCTACTGACTGATTGCCATTTTGGCCTCTGAACACACTAAAGAGAAACAGCAGGTATTTATTCTTTTTAAAAATGAATTATTCTAAATACTTAACATCTGTAGTTTGCTAAGCTCTCTGTTTTCTGGATTTCAGTTATTTTCTGGTCATAATAAATAGAAAACTGAAGAAAAAAAGTTACCATGCTTAAGTATTTCAATTCCATTCAAGAAAAGTATTTAAAGATTTAGAATTGGTAATAAATGAAGAGAACCTTGTATTTAATTGTGTTTTTTCTTGTTTTAACTGTTAAAGACTAGTAAATGTTGTAGCAAAGTGTTTTATATTGTTCATCAATTACGATGAGTAATAAAGGTATATAAATATTTATGCTTAAAAAATTTTGGAGGCTACATTAGCTAACTGCATAACTATCAGCACTGTTTTTTCTTAGTGATAGAGCCTAGGTATGACATGTCAGTCTCTTTGGTTTATCTTTGGTATTCACAAGACTGAGTTTGTAGCAAGAAGCATTTTGCCTTTTACCAGACCAACTGATAGTTAGATTAAGTGGAGAGATTTATCAGTGTGAAAAGGACTTTTGTGGAAGTTTATCTGTCTTCTAGCTTTTTTTCTACCCACTTGCATCAGATACCTTAACAAAAGATACCAACTTTCTCCCTGACTTTTCCTCAGCTATATTTTTCGACCACAGAGACACATTCTCATTCATTATTCAGGTGTTCCTGGACAGCATGAAATGAGGAGAGTCCTATAAATTCTTATTTGTGAAATGGTATGATTGATAACCCAAAAGCACTGTCTCATCTCTCTCCTCAGCACTCCTTATTTTCTCTTTTCTTGTCTAAAATATACTCTCTTCGTCTGACACATGAAAGCAGTGCTGCTGGCCAGCTGCTGTGTTCATTCTCAGTCCCTTTGTAACACCCCATAGACCTCATTTTTCCTGAGTGGAACACTCCTCAATTCAGAAGGCGAGTGTCACACTGCAGCAGAGACTGACCCGTCTTCTCTTTTGTGCTCATGCCAGCAAAGGCTCCTTTGTATCTCCCACTCTGACTCACACACTGCTATGAATTTGCCTTTAAAATTGCCCACAGCCAACCATGTATCTCAGATTTCAGATTTTCTTCAACTATCTGTGAAATATAGCATCATCCTCCTTTTTTTTTTTTTTTCTTTCTTATGCATACTTTGATCTTTTGTTTTAAACAGCAAAGCTCTCCTCAGCATTAAGGGCAAGAAGTCAGGGCTTTGTTTATCCATGAAAAATGTTATTTATGACCTGCCACAGGGACTTGTTCGTATGTGCAGAGGGTTGTGAAATGGGACAGTGGTTGAATTCATGACACCAGTCAGCATGCAGATATGCAATGAGAGCAGTGAGTCAGGTTTAGATCACAAGCACACACAGAGAGAACTGGTAGAATGTCCGAGTTCATCACCCACCATAGTAAGCCTGAAGGAACAGAAAATGGGAAAGCTCAGCTGCAACTTCAAGTGGCACATTCAGAACTCAATTTCTTCCTGTTGTGCATGAAAGCACATGAACATCAGCAGCATAAATTTCCCTTAGTTTGTTAAGCAAATTCTTTTTAGAGAGTCCTTTTTAACAAGTTCTTGCTCATTTTGTCAATGACTTTCCCAATGAGTCCATCCTTCTTAAGGTCCCCACCACCATTCTGCCATTTTGGCCCTGGATTTTGCCATTGTGCCCTTGCTGCACAGAAGGCCAATGGCATCCTGGCACGCTATTGCCAGCAGGCTGAGGGACTGATCCTTCCCCTCTGCTCTGCACTGGTGAGGCCACATCTGGGGAGCTAGATCCAGTTCTGGCCCCTCACACCAATACAAAGGAGACCTAGGCTTACTGGAGAGAACCCAGTGAAGGGCCATGAGGATGAGGAAGGGCCTGGAGTACCTCTCCTGTGAGGCTGAGAAAGCTTGTTGTTTAGCCTAGAGGAGGCTCAGGGGAGTCTCAACAATGTCCATAACACCTGAAGGGAGTGTGCAAAGATGAAACCAGGCTCTTGTCAGCAGCGCTCAGTGCAGGACAGGAGGCAGCAGGCACAGGGGTTCCTTCTGAACACCAGGCAGCACTGCTGTGCTGTGCAGTGATGGAGCACTGGCACAGGCTGCCCAGAGGCTGTGGGGTGCCCTTCAGGAGCCACCTGGACGTGTGCACCATGCTCTGGGTGTCCCTGCTGAGCAAGGGCTGAGGCAGATGGACCCAGCAGTGCCTTCAGCCTCACCCGCTCCATGTCCTCATAAGCACCCATCATTGATTCCCCCTCCCTGGATCTTTACTTATCTTAGGTTCTACTTCTTTTTCTCAGCCCCCATTTCCCTCCTCGCATTTCCTAGTAATCCTCCTGACATCTGTACTCAAAGCACAGCAGAGTATCCACTATTTCACCAGGGCCCCCATTTTTCCTCACACCTTGCTTTGTGGGGCTGAAGACAGGCAGGACAGTTTTGGCACGAGAGTTGCCATCCGACTTTCGTCTTTCAAAAGGAGCCAGCCGCCACTCCCAGCCGCAGCCGAGGTAGCGCAGCTGCCGGCCAGGAGGCACGCCAGGACCGCAGCACTTCCTCCTCCCGCCTCTTGGCTCTCCCCGCCCCTCAAACCCCGCCCCCCGCACGCCGGGCTCGTACCACCGCCGCGTCGATCGTGGCTCGCGCTGCCGGTTGGGCCCCGGCTGCCGCCCGGCGCCGCCGCCGGGGCCGAGGCGTCGGAGGATGCGGCGGTTCGCGCGAGTGGCGCTGCTGTTCTTGGGCTGCGGCGTCTGCTCGCTGCTCTACGGCGTCAGCCAGCTCGCGCTCTCCCTGGAGCAGGAGGCCGGCGGCGCCCAGCTGCGGCAGGCCCGAGACTCGGCCGCAGCCGGCGGCGGGCGGCAGGCGGGGAACGCGGGTCGAGGCGAGGAGGGGGCCGGCAGGTACGGGCCGGGGCCGCGTTCCTTTCAAGCGGGCGCGGGGCGCGCTGCACACCGGCCGCGGGCTGCCCTGACTGGTGGAAGCCCGGGCCGGGAGCGGCCTGCCGAGGGTTGCGAGGAGGGGCGGGCCGTTCCGCGATCCGAGCTCGGCTGCTGTGAGGGGTTATTGGGCTCTGGGGCGGCGGCGAGTGACTCTGAACAGTTGTGGCCGGCTTCAAGCTTCAGCACCAGCTCTTCTGTCTCACCTCTGTGCTCGGTGTTAGCGTGAACGGGATCGTGAAAGTGTACGAAAACTCCTGTTTTCCCTTTCCGTGCTCTGCCACCCCGCCTGGCCGCGCGGAGGTTCCTGCGGAACCCTGCGGAGTGCGAGCAGCCCCGGTGCACAGCGTGAGTACTGAGCACGATTCTCTGTGACAAGAGTGAGTTTAGTAAGGCCATCGTAAAGTCTCTGCTAGGCTGAAGCTGTAGGAGAAATCAGGACTGAGATTTTCTGGGCCAGCTTGCCTTAAGTCCCAGGCAGCTCAAGGCAGTGCGGTTCGGTGTGCCGAGGCTGCCCACACACCTGGCTGCCTGGGGACTGTGCTAGTGCTAAAGATTGTGGTAACTGCAAAGAAAAGTTAGCTGTAGTGGTTCTATGGAACATTTAAGGACTGTAATAAAACAGTTCTAAATAGAAATAGGAGGGAAGAAGCATTTGATGTAACTTGGATTAGTAAACTTCGTGTTACTTTCAGGTATATCGTGGTCCTGCTGAGCAGAAGAACCAAATCTATTTTAAAGCAGTACTTATTTCTTTGTTAGTATTTGTACTAATTCAAAGATACTGATAGAAGAAAACTCCAATGAGGTGGAACTTCTTACTTGCTGCATTAGGGTGGAATGAGATAGAAATCTGCTTTGTGTTGCAATGCAGAAAAGCCTCACAGCCTGAGTAGTTACCTTCAAAGGCTTAGGTGCCATAGGTAATTCACAGGCATATGCTTTCATGGAGACATACCTCATACCTTTCTGTAAAATCGGGTGACATCTGTGGGAATTCTTTGCCTATAAACTGATGTCAAAGTAAAGGCTCCTGGTGAGCATCTTCCTATTGTGAACTGTTAGAAGTTTGTGCGTTGTGTCTGCAGAACTCGGGGTGGGTCAGTGCCTTAGCGCTTAAACTATCTTATTACAGGCCTTTAGTGGACTAAGTGACGCTTCAAGGAAAAATTCCATCCTGTGGCAGTAAAGGAATGCCCCACTGGATCTTCCTTTAGATGCTTGTTTCGGTTATTCCCACATATTGAATCGTGTCATGTTCTCTTTTGTAATCGATGAACATATCCTCAGGTTAGTGGTGGTCAGATTTCATACTTCCACTGTTTCTGTAGTGGAGGTGGAGCTTGATAGCCACAAAGCTGCTTGATGCCCGTTACTGCTGTCTTGCAATCATGCCCCTATACTAAGGGTTCTAATAGCCTTATGGAACAAATTATGTTCACAGAACCTTTTAATCCTTCCTGAAGTTTAATGCTTCTTATGCATTCATTGAAACTCTCAACAGTGAGGTGCTTCAGCTGTTTTTACTGTTAGCTGTAAAATGCAATTTAGTGAAGGAGATATATCTGTCACCTGACGGCATTCATGGACTCAGCAGTGCTTTTTCCTTCTCTAAGCTGAGTAGAGTCTTCTTTTCCCAAATAATCTGATTCAGTATATGACATAAAAGCAGAAGGAGTTCGGTCATATTTTGTGGTGGAAGGTAGAATTTAAAGATTTCTGGTGGTTTTCAGAAACATGTGAACATGAGAAGTGCAAGCTTTGAATAAAGCTTCAGAGTACCACACCTGCCAGAATTTCACAATAGCGCTGGTGCTTCTCAGTAGAGGATCTTTAATTAGAAAGGAAGTGCTATGTTGAAACTTGAATGACAAGCAGAGGCAAGGTCCTTCAATAAACATAATAATTCAAGGGAGATTGCTGGGTAATCACTATGGTAATGAGGTGTTTGTTTCAAAGGCTACATTAGCCCGAGGAACAGGATGACTACAGACTAAAAGCAGTGTCTTTTATGAAAAAAAAAAACCAAAACAAACAAAAAAACCCAGTGAGGTTGTGGATGCCCCCTCCCTGAAAGCTCTCAAGGCCAGGCTGCATGGGGCTTTGAGTAACCTGGTCTAATGGGAGGTATCCCTGTCTATAGGAGATGGGTTGGAACCAGATGATCTTAAAGGTCCCTTCGAACCCAAACCATTCTGTGATTCTAAAGTGTTTTGAGAGTTTTAGATAAAAGGTTTAGGTGTGAAGAATGATCAACATTGATGGTAAATTGTCCTCCTGATTCTCCATTGCATTGTACATCCTGTCATATGTAACAGCTAAGCGAGCAACAGATCTGAATCTGAAGAAAGGGAATATTAGAGTGACCACATTCAGAAGAGACAAAGTTGGGCAAAAGCCAGTATATGAAGCCATCCTTTTTTAATTTGCTGTTATGATTTATGGGTGAGGATGAGGGCTGTGGAAAAAAATGGGAGAAAAAAAAAAAAACAAAAAAACAAAAAAACAACAACAACAGTGGATGAGTGCACATTTGCAGCATATGTCATTATTATTATTTGCTGTCTGTGGAATGTCCTTTCAAGTCAGCTCTTGTGGATGTGCTTTTGGATCATCTAATTAGTAGACTATAACTGTACTTATGAAAAGCGAATCTTTGGTTAATTTTCTCAATATTGCTACTTCAGTTAAGCAGATAATCTTCATCTTTCCATTCAGGTCCAAAAGGAGTGCTGTTCTGAAGGCAAGTTTGTGAAAAACAGCAGGAAAGCATCAGTACTTAGCTCCATGAATTCTGCTAGGTCAGTGAACTTGACCCTATTGGGAAAAAAAAAAAAAGAAGAATTAAACATTTTTCCATTGTATTTTAGTTTAGCATTTTCATGCAGGTGGCAGTGTTATATCTGTCACTGTTCTGTGAGATGTAACTGTTACTGGACTGTATCTATTTCTTGCTGTATGACTAGACTGGCAAAGGGAAAGTTGAGTGGATTTTAGTGCATGGAGGAGTATTAGAGGTGTACCCACAAGCTTTGGCAGCAGAGTAGCACGGTGGCAGTACATGGGCCGATAACTTTGGTCTATGTGAGAACTTAGCCAGTGGTTTTACCAGAATGCTTCTCAGCTACTCATGTGCCTTAAGGAATTATTTGGTCTACAAAATGTAAGGGAAACTTTTAAAAGGTGAAGCATGGAGTAATTTGAAGCTGAAACTTCATTTCAGAAATAAAAGTTCAGCTGAGCTTGTCATATGATGAAGCTGACCAACGAATGTTATGTTATGCAGACATGTTATAAATCAATGGGATATTGCCAGGGTTGTCCTGGGTTGCACGTTTAACATTAAGTTTAGGATCTACTGTCTCCTGTTTAATAAAGCTATAAGAAAACTGCTTTTCAGTTAAAATACCTCAAAACAAAGAATCAGTTCAGGAAAAGTTATTCAGAAGAATCAGGTCTTCTCAGTGTGTTTCAGTGTTGAATTGGGAAATTCATTGTTTCCTAACTTTTTGCTCCTGTATGTATGGGCAGGAAGGAAATAAAAACATGGCCTTCCTGTTTTGCTGCAGCAGTCTCTCTGGGTTAGTCGATGCTTGCTGTTGATTAGATTTAGCTTGTTAGTGCAGTGCTGACAGCAGTACAGCAGTCATGACCCATGTTAGGTGATTGCAACCCTGAGTGTATGTGCTGCTAAGCTCTGTGAAGTTACAGTAGTATAAAAGACAGCATCTGGACTGGAAAGCATGGATGAAAGCCATCATCTCCCTTAACAGTAAGCTCACTGGTGTACTTAACAAAAGAATTTTTTTTTAATCACTTATTGCTAGGAGACTCCTTATGGTTGGAACTTAGCTTGCTTAAGCACAGGGCCTCAGTCTTGGTGTGAGTAATGCATTGCTATAGATTTTCACATAAATTTAGAATTGTCCCAAATCCTCCTCAGTCATAATATAGACACTTTCACTGTGTCTGTAAGACTGAAGTTTTTATTATCCATTTTTTGTTGAAGCTGAATTATCCTCTAGAAGTCTTAAATGGCTTTCTGTCTAAACGAGAGATACCTTTAAATACCTTGAATTGACATGGATCCAGTGTTTTTTAAAGCTGTCTTTTTCTTTGTTTTGGTATTTTTGGCAGCAGTTGATGTTCGAACTTGTCCAGCATGGCTGTCTGATGGAGGGGCAGCTGCTGCACCTCCCATCCCTTTGGGCAGCCAGTGGCAGAGCTCAGCACTTATTTCCTAGTAGGGGCACAAGCCCACACTATGTGTGTATGCACATGGCTGGCCACAAGCATCAACATAGAAAAAGAGCGCTTGTGGAAGCACAGACAGCACAGGTGGCCTGATCCTATTCCCTTTTCTGGCTGATGAGTGTGAAAGCCTCTTAGTAAAAACCATGTAAATGCACTCAGTGTAGGCCTTAGATGCTCGGTCTGTGCAGGAGCTGGCCCTGACCCTCTGGTCTTCTCCCTGCTGCTGGCCTGAGTGTGCACACCCATAAAGCTTGCAGCTCTGCTTTGGTTGCTGGTACTCAGAGCTCCACAATATACATATGCATGCACACATGTGGGGCTGAGGATCCCTCCAGTCTCTGGCCTTAGACTGTCTGTCTGTCAGCTGGGCTGCCTGGTCTCCCAGTTGCTTCATGCAGATGGGTGTTTTGCTTGGGTAGTTCCAGGCATATGGCTGTGTCATCTGTCAACCTCCAGATATGAAGACTTTTGGAGCTGGCTGGGACCTCCTGGTTCTTACAGCAGCTCACGCTTTGAGATTGCAGCGTGACTCAGCCTTACAGCCTCTCTGTTACCTGGCTGACAAGCCTATGACCCTCTTTGTTGGTGAATCCAGCTTGGAACTTGCTAGTAACGGTGCCCCAGTGTGCACACCCACATGCTGTGTGCATTCAGGTCAGGGCTCTCCAGTTCGTGGCACTGCAGACAAGTGGGCCCCTGTGATTCGAGGTTGCCTCTTGCACTTCCATGCATGCATGTGCACACAAAATAGAGCACCCCTTTGCCCAGGAATACAGAAGTAGTGTTTATGAAGGAGACTGATGATCAGGTTTGCAACACAGCCAGTTCTACGGACAGCCTGTTGGTGTGTCACTGAACCCTCTTCCTTCTGTGTTTTCATTCTCACTTCTCTACAGCTTGCCTTGATGCTTTGCTTTCCTTATCTTTGGTCATTTCCCTGAAGTTTCCCAGCTCCTTACTGCAGTCTGTTTGGCACTACCCCAGAATACTCTTCCTCGGGGAACCTGGAGCGCTGCCTTTGTGCTGTGTAAGCAGCAGGGTTCCTTGTGCTGTCTGTCTTTTCTCCTTTAATTAGCCTTTAACCACATAACCTGTAATAGATGAGAGCAAACTATCCCCTTGTGCTGAAGGTAAGTATTCCTGCCCAACCAGTACTTTCTTGGGTAACTTGTTTGATTAACAGGCAGAATGCACCTCTTTAGCTTTGTAAATCACTTGGGACACCTTATTTGTCATCCAAGCTTTTCTCATGTATTATTCTAGCTCTTAATTTAAAAAAATCAAAAACAAAACTTGATGAATGTAATTTCTGAGTGATCTTGTGAATAACAAAAAATGTGTCAGTGTCAATCTGTTAATCCTGTGTGTGTGGAAGCTGTAGGAACACGGCAGTATGTGATCAGCTGAGAGGCTTCTGTTTGCAGGAAACAAGTCTGATTTACACGTTTTGGTAAATCATGCGTGCATCTCAGTAACGCTTCTGTTTCAAACAAACACAATTTGTGAATGAAATCAAAGCCTGACAACCTTGTCATAATATGAATTGGGGTATTGGAAAGGGCTAATGTGGCAGAGAAAGCATTTTGGCATTAATTCTAGTTTTTGGTATGGGAATCTGGATAAGAGAGTAGCTCAGGGCAGCTAAGAAAAACACAGTGCTTGTGACAGCTGGAAGAAGAATCCTTGTAATAATACAATGATCTTCCAAAGCAGAATGCTGTTTTTGGGAGTCTGTTAAGTTGTCCTCAGAATAATGAGAAGCAGATACTACAAAAAGGTGTGCACTGGAGATCATAAAGATTGTTCTTCAGATATGTGCCATGAAATTGTTACTGTTTTGTTTTGTTTTTTTTTTAAACTTCAAAAGCCCTGAGGTTGAATCTAGTCAGGGAGAATTTATAGCTCTGTAACACTGACTTTCCCCAGTAATATTCAAAAATAAGGAAGTCGCAGTCTACGTTACCCTGTTTTGTACAGAGATATTTCTTTGTGGAGATCATTCTATTGTCATGAGATAGAATGATTCCAATGATGTTGCCAACACGTGTATCCACAGGATGTGAAGATTTCCTGTGATCTCTACCAAAGAACTCAGCCCCACCAACGCTTAACAAGGCTTTATGTAACACTTCTGTGTGTTTATCAGGTCATTTTTTTGTTGCATCAAGAAAAAAAGATTGTACATTTTGCCAATTCTTGTTATCGCAGTAATCTTTTAAGTCTGACTTTCACAAAGCATATATGGCTTATGTAAGTATCAGGTAACCCAGCCAAGGTAGTGCTGATTCATTTCAAACTCATAAAACAAACTTCAGTACAGCTTTGAGCTGTAGTCTTTCAGCTTTTCATTGTCAGCTTTTTCTATAGTTTTCCTTCTTGCACATCTTTCCTTCATGAATGCTGGCTGTTAACAAGGATAAGCGCCATTTGCATTATGTTAACAGGGCATAACGATGAAGCATAGCATCATAGAATGGCCTGGGTTGAAAGGGACCACAATGATCATCTATTTTCAACCCCCCCTGCTATGTGCAGGTCACCAACCACCAGACCAGGCTGCCCAGAGCCACATCCAGCCTGGCCTTGAATGCCTCCAGGGATGGGGCATCCACAGCCTCCTTGGGCAACCTGTTCCAGTGCGTCACCACCCTCTGTGTGAAAAACTCCTTCCTGATATCTAACCTAAATCTCTCCTGTCTTAGTTTAAAACCATTCCCCCTTGTTTTGTCACTATCCACCCTTGTAAACAGCCATTCCCACTCCTGTTTATACTCTCAATTCAAGTACTGGAAGGCCACAATGAGGTCTTCCTGGACCCTTCTCTTCTCAAGCTAAACAAGCCCAGTTCCCTCAACCTTTCCTCATAGCAGAGGTGCCCCAGCCCTCTGATCATCTCAGTGCCCTCCTCTGGACCCGCTCCAACAGCTCCACGTCCTTCATGTACTGGGACCCCAGCACTGCAGATGGGGCCTCACAAGAGCTGAGTAGAGGGGGACGATCACCTCCCTGTCCCTGCTGGCCACCGCTTTAATGCAGCCCAGAACACAGTTGGCCTTCCGGGCTGCAAGTGCACACTGCTGGCTCGTGTCCAGCTTCTTATCCACCAGGACCCCCAAGTCCTTCTCTGCAGGGCTGCTCTCAAGGAGATCATCCCCCAGTTTGTATAAATACCTGGGATTGCCCCGACCCAAGTGCAGCACCCTGCACTTGGCCTTGTTGAACCTCATTAGGTTTTCATGGGCCCACTTCTCCAGCCAGTCCAGGTCCCTCTGGATGGCTTCCCTTCCTTCCAATGTATTGAGCGGACTGCTCAGCTTGGTGTCGTCTATGAGCTTACTGAGGGTGCGCTGTATTCCGCTGTCTGTGTCATTGATGAAGATGTTGAAGAGCACTAATAGGAAGTCACTCAAGAGCAGGCACCCCTTGCTTTGCAGTGTTCCACGTGCTTGTTTAAGATTTTAAATTTCATTGTTGATTCACTCACCAGAATCATAGCGTGCACTTCTATTGCTCTTTTAAAATATTTCCTATGATATTCTTGCATAAAATTTCATCTCAGATTAGCACACCTTTTTAGCTGTTAGTGTAATACAAGTGAACAAATGACTGCTCTTAATATAGAGAAGGAAAACTTGTCAGATGGGGTGATTATTTCTGTATTGCAGTAACCTTTTTGTAACGAAGTGGCTGAATTAGTTGGTGCTAAAAGTTCTATTATTTTTTTTCTTTTAAATAAGTTTTGTAGGTTGCACTGAGTAGTCACGGGTTAATAGGGACTGTGTTTAAATGAATAATGTGCACTTGAAAATGGAATGTTCCAACTTCTCTGCTTGTAGATAAAGACGCTGCAATGGTGAAGGATCTTTCCAGCTTTAAGTGTAGCCTTTCACTCTGTCACCTGTAGATTTGCACTAAGCAGGGAACATAGAATGGCCTTCAGAAATCCCACTCCCTTTGTTTCTCTCACTCTGAAAGTAAGTAGAGAGGAAATGCACATGGGAATGGGGCCATACATCCTTAAAGGAATCCTTCCTGATTGGCACCTCCTCTTTTGTATTATCCAGGGTCCATTATGTAGTGAGTCTTCTGTCAGGTCATTAACTGATCAAATTATGTTTGAGCTATGAAATAATCCTATTAACTTTGCCGTATAACCAGTAACATTTATATAGGTTATTTTTGTCTTATCCTGTTAGGTGTCAGAATTTGTCTGTATCTTTCTGGAATTCCTATTGGATGCTGCCCTCTGATGTTTGTGGAGTGAACTGCTTTTGGGAAGCTGCTTTTAGGTAGGATCTATTATTAAATAGTTCTTTATTTTTTGATTGCAGACAAGTGCAGCTAATATAATAGCATTTGTGACCATTTAGCAAGGTGACAAAGCAAAATATTGTGGTTGCTTCACGTTTCACATGTTTATCTTACAGTTGTCTTTGGTCTTTGTCCTTCTGTTCTATTTTTAAACTAGGCATTGAGGAAATGTAATTACAAAGAATTTTCAGTTTTTTCCAATTACGTTGCTTTCTTAAATAAAGACTTGTTAACATTGGTAAAAAGTCTATCTGAAAATAATCTTAGAAATGATTGGTGAGTACTGGTGATATAACTGGTAATAAAAACTGGCAGGTTTAATGAAGTCCTGAGTTTTTAATTAAAATTCCATGCTATCAAGAATATGAAGGTATTTCATCCAAAACTACTGAAACAGCTACTTTAGAATGTAATTTAAAATACATTACATTGAAGCATATACTATGTCCTGAAAGTTTAATCTTTACCAAGACTTTCAAATATTTTGATGTGGTTGTTCACATGCCTTAAAGCTGTCTGATTACAATAGTAGCTTGTAAAGAAACTGAAGAAGCCTTAAGCTACTTGACAGGTATCTTCTCTAACCCACATAGTTCTCCTCACTACGTAAATATGATTTTAAGTTAATTTTTCTTACATTTAGACTTGAAATGAACAGCCATTGAGATGGTTCTGTCTCTTTTTGTCTAAAAGCCTGTCAGCATTTTGGGGGCTGGTTCGGCCCGGGTCCGTGAGTAGCGGGGCGGAGGGATTTTGCAAAATCTGCACCTCTGGAAAAGGGAAACAGGGAGCCCCAAAATAATTAAATACAGCGGCAACGACCTGAGGGGAAACGAACTAATTTACTAAATATGGTATTGGAATCCAAGATAACACACTGTAATACAATATAGTTAGAATCGAAGCTAATAAATCAAATGTAATGAAAGTGTCTGAAAGGTGGATAGTTCTCACTGTAACCGTGAGGTGAGATGTGCAGTCTGGTTGAGAGCAGGGAAGAGACCTGACAAAGAAGAGCTCATCAGGTGACCTTGCCAGGGGTTGTATCTCCTCTCTGACCGCAGAGCCCCCTGGGGTCTGTAGTTCTTCTTCTCTTCCAGACAGGTGCCCAGAACTGGAGCTTTAACACTTTAACTCCCAGTGCACTACGTGATGTTATGATGTGGAATACCAATAACCAAAAATCATACAGCCATGAGAAAGCCCTATTTTTTTTTTTTTCCTTTTGCTTCTCTAGAAAAAAAAGTGTTTAGCTTCACAAGGCTTAAATGCTGTTGAACATTATGGTAGCGGGAAAGATTTTATGTCTCTCCAGAAGTAATGCCTCTTGTTTATTTGTTTATATTTTTATTTCCATGGAAACTACAGTGGATACCAAGAGCACAATAACTACAGACAGAGCAAATTCTCAGCTATTTTTTCAACATAGTCACCACCATTAGCTGTGTATTTTCAGCAGCAGTGAAAAGAGCCTGCGTGCCGCACTCATAAACGTCAGAGGTGACCCACTGTTGTCATTGCTGAAAGACACCACCCACCACCTCACTGTGCTCACATTCACTGGTTGGTCTCCATAAACATTCAGCAAGAGTTGATGAATGTCAATGGGTGCATTTTTTTCCTGCATGGAGGAATTCAGTGACACACCTTTGCTTTGTGTGAACTTACTTGTCAGACCCTGTTGTGTCAGGCTGCCCTCTGCTGCCATCTGTTGCATGGCAACAAAATTAAATGTGCATTGGCAGGGAGGTTCCATGTCTACTGCTGTACCACCACTGTCTGCCTCTGACATCGTGGGTCAAGAAAATAAATTAGGAGGCATTACTTTCAGAGCAGCCTTCCTTGATCTATTCCCATTCCCTTTTGCTTGTGTCCTTTCAGTGCTTTTTAAGCTGATCAGTTGACAAGAATTTAATTGAAGATATGGCCTAGATTGAATTTTTGGGCTACTAGTGAGGTGCCCACCTAAACTGGGACTGCTGAATCTTTCCCTCTGTGCTAAACTGTCAGTATATCATCTTCCTTTGGCACATCTGAGTTTCCTTTAACTGTCTGGATGAACTCAGTTCATATATTTTCACCTTCAGGTTAGCTTTTTGGGAGTTTAGCATCACGAAGTTTAGCACTAGGTGATGTCAGTGCTGTTGTGATGGGCTGTGGGAGTTTAGCTTTTGCTTTTTGAAAAGATACAATTGTAAACTTCATTGATTCAGTCTGTCTGTTGTGCAGTGCTGAAATAGGAGAGTGCACCACTGCCTTCTGACCCCTTTGTCCATTGTGATACCCACAAACTCTCTGCAAAACATACTGACACATCAGAAGAGCAAAAAACTTCCAGATCTTCTACAAGGCTCAAGTTAAGTAGTGGGAACTTGGAGCCAGAAATAGGGAAACAGTATGCAGTTCCTTTGTGTGTACATTAAGCTATAATGTATATTAGTCAATTAATAATGCTGTATGTGGCTGGGAAGGCACTTCTGATGAGGTATGCATTGATTATGGCCTCATGAGGATAGTGCAGTTTCTTTCACAGAGAATCCTAATACGTGCAAAGTCTCACGTTGATTGATTTTTTGAAGCTGAAAGAAAATGTATTGCTTAAATGTGGAAAGATCGTGATGATGTTCAAATTAATCATTTCATATTAATCAATTATTTAATCAATACTTTAAGTGAATCCCCGTATGTTGTGCTGATGCTGGTGCTTGTTGAATTCCTCAGTGAACCTGTCCCAACTTCAAAGGACTCCCTCACTTCCACAAACTGTTACTACTTCTGTGTTTTAGTGAGTTCAGTTTCTTTCAGGGAGCTGCAGTGAGTGCCAGGGTTTTGGCTTATCCGCAGCAGAGGTGGGGAAGATGGCAGAGAGGAGAGGAAAATGCTCCCTCTTTGGATGACAGCAAGCTATTACAGTGGCTGAGCACAGCCTGCTGCATAAGCCTCATTGCCTTGTATGTGTTGGGGCATCACAAAAAGTAGCTGCAGTTTTCAATTTCAGCTTTGGATATGAGTTGTAGTTTTGTTTATTTCTCAGACAAAATCGGTGCATTATCTGAAGTGCCAGAGCACTGATAAGTTGGAGAGCTCAGACCTTTGATAGCAGGCTTTTTTTTACATCAAATCTGCAGGTGGCAGATATTTCTGTGAAAGAACTTGGTATAGGCATTTTTGAAACGTAGCTTGCTAGCTACATCATTTTCTTTTGAGTTACTGCATGTGTTCAAAGGAAGGAGTGATAACAAATGTGTGGATTTATAAGACTCATGTTTGTACAACAGAAGCATTGAAGACTCATATGGGCTTGGGAATTCTGAGGAGTGGTATTCACACAGAGCTCAGTCTGACTCCTGCTATGGCTCATTCAGCTTGCTTGCCAGCAGTGAGCTCTGAGCAGTTCATAGCATCACCAAGGTTGGAAAGGACTTCCAAGATTATTCAGTCCAACTGTTCACCTACCACCAATAATTCCCACTAAACCTTGTCCCTTAGTACAACATCTAAATGTTCCTTGAACACCTCCAGGGATGCTGACTCCACCACCTCCCTGGGCAGCCCATTCCAGCTCCTGACCATTCATGATCAGTTGATGATTCTAGTAATGTTTTATATGGATGTTGTCTCAGTTAATCTGTTTAAGATTTCTTACCTCTGCTGCATGTGAGAAGGATTGTGGAGCTCTTCTGTACCCACGTTTTATATCAATGTTCTGATTATTAACACTGTTAGAGACAGAACAAAACAGTGTTTTGTGCAGTGCTTTTGATGGAGAATATTTATTGTTAGCTTTGGTAGAGGAAGCATGAGTTCAGTTTTTTTTAACATACAGTACAGGCTTTATCCAAAATTTTAACAGTGCTGCTAAAGACATAAGGCTCAGGTTTTGCATGATCTTGATGGCACATGACTTTTGTGGTGCAGTTTTCATGGTGCTCAGTATCATCTAGCAGGTGTGATTGCTCATCTCTGCCTGAGACCAAATAAGAAGAAGATCTTAGAGATTGTTCCTGCTGTTAACTGTCTGATAACAGTCTGTCTGATTTCACTTGTTGGATGTTGCTCCTAAGTGTGCTTTAGCTTACATTGCCTATTTAACTTACATTGCCATCTTTTGGGTGCACTGAGGTCCTGGTGGTGTGGACAAATTAAGCTGAATTGTAACAATCCTGAAAAACAGGATTATTTTTTTTTTAGCTCACTGCAGGATGAGACTTCCAACTCCTGTAATAGATTTTGGAATGACTAATATGTTGTAACTTCAAACTTAATCTACCAATTGAGTTTGTAATTGAACAGATGACATTTAGACATTATATGCAGTGGTATCATTAGCATACTTAGGCTGTAATCAGAGCTTATTTTGTGTTTTTAATTCAGAGCTGTAGTGGAAAATTAAGTTGAGTAAAAACTAGAATTTTCATCACTTCCAAATGCAGATAATTTTAGTAGTTACCTTGATCCTACTTTCTGTAATTGTGGGAATGATTTCCCAACTGCATTTTAATCAGTGCAGGCTTTACTGCCTTCTCACTCTGCTTTCTTTTTTTTTTTCTTTTTTTTCCCTAGTGAGTAAAGGCTGCTGGGTCTGCTTCCTTAATGTTCCATTGAGTTAGATCAAGGACAAAGCTTTCAAAGAAGAAAAAGCATGATAAGTAAATCATCTGTATTCTGTTTACATGTCTACCATTTGATCTTCTGAGACATGCTAAGGTGGCAGATTTGAAATGGTACTGGTCACTTATGTGAAAATATTTGTCCTGCAGATCCTAAAAAGCACAACTTGCGTTTTCATAGAATCATAGAATCCTTAGAGTTGGAAGGGACCTCTGAAGGCCATCTACTCCAACTCACCTGCAGTGAACAGGGACAGCTAGATCAGGTTGCCCAGGGCCTGATCCAGCCTTGCCTTGAAAGTATCCAGGGATGGGACATCAGCCACATCACTGGGCAATTCCAGTGCCTCAGCACCCTCACTGTGAAAGATCTTTTTTTTATATCTAACCTAAATCAATCTCCTTGAACTTTTCATAGAATCATAGAATCACCAAGGTTGGAAAAGACCTAAAAGATCATCCAGTCCAACCGTTCACCTATTCCCAATAGCTCCCACTAAACCATGTCCCTCAACACAACATCCAGCCTTTCCTTGAACACCCCCAGGCTCGGTGACTCCACCACCTCCCTGGGCAGTCCATTCCAGTGCCTGACCACCCTTTCTGAAAAGTAATACTTCCTCATGTCCAGCCTGAATCTCCCCTGCCGTAGCTTGAAGCCATTCCCCCTGGTCCTATCACTAATGACACGAGAGAAGAGGCCGACCCCCAGCTCACTACAACCTCCCTTCAGGAAGTTATAGAGAGCAATGAGGTCTCCCCTGAGCCTCCTCTTCTCCAGGCTGAACATTCCCAGCTCCTTCAGCCTCTCCTCATATGGCCTGTGTTCCAGACCCCTCACCAGCTTTGTTGCCCTCCTTTGAACACATTCCAGGGCCTCAATATCTTTCTTGCAGTGAGGGGCCCAAAACTGGACACAGTACTCGAGGTGTGGCCTCACTAGTGCTGAATATAGGGGAAACTTTTCCATGTTAATTATCAGAAAACTTACATAGGGAATATTTTTGCACCAATACTGTTGTTTGCTGACTTTTTATACTGAAAATGAAAACACATTTTCACTAGGCTCGTTTGTTCTTTTTCTAAGTGTAAGTAGCTTTCACTTTTTCACACAATTTCTTTCAGAGTTGAAAAAATCATTTTTAAACAGAGATTTGCGAAAATTGAACTAATGAGCTCATAAGCTCATGAAACAGATTAGATGTGGGCAAAGTGACTGCGAAAACATTACAGCAAACATTTTTTTTGTTGTGTGGTTTGAAATGTTCTTTTATTTGCAGTGTGACTAGGTGTAGAAAAAGTCTTTGAATCTCAGTGCTGTGTTTAAGGGCTGCTTTGGTGTAATATTCATCATACTTTATTCATGGAAAGCTGTGTTCCGTGTGGTTCAGGAACTTGGCTTTCAGCTATGCAGTTTGTATAGGTAGTGCCATTATTTATCACATGACCTTGCAGTATCAGTGTAGGCTCTCATGACTTCAGGGCTTAATTATTGTAATTCCCTTTACAGTGGATTAGTGATGAGGCTAATCTGCTGCTTGCAGCTTGTTCAGACTGCAGTGGTGTATTTATTTGTGGATTTCAGCAACCCTCATCACATTCAGCTTGCTTTGCATCAGCTGCTTACTACATGGTGTAATGTTTAGATTAGCTTTAGGTATAAAGGTCTGAATGTTCATGCCTCGGTTATATTTAAAGGTTATGCTTTTTTTTTTCTCTCTCTCTTTTAAACTGAAGTAATATTTCAGGTTTTGCTGCAGGACACCTGAAAGGATTTAGTCTGTGGATTGAATCTTCCGAATGTCTGTGTTTATGTGTTTGTGTCAAGTGGCTTTAAACTGTCATTAAAATTGAAAGAAAATAGTGTGACACAGGTGATCAGCCAGTAAGTTGCTAAGAGATAAATGGCTGATGTTAATAGAGAAGCACTAGGATATCTTTGACATCTACATAGGGCTAACAGATATAACACAGTCTTTGAGATACCTTGTCCTTAAGGACTGGCACCTGGAAGTCAGGGTGAGCTATTCTGGAACATATGAAGTGACACTGTCTTAAACAATTGAATCAAGCCCTAGATATTTACTTTGAGGTAAGATGAATTATTGTCCTGGCTCCATTGCCTTCCCATCAGGTCTCTATTAGTTTGAATGGGAGACACAATCTCATACGCCAGCGTCTTCATTTAGATGTCCATTTTTGGATCTAAATACTGTCTGTCTTTCATCCATGTGATTTTGAATACACTTCCAAACCTTGACTTAATATTGACTATATGTTCTAATCGAAGTTTTATCCCTCTTATATCCCTGGGTTGCTGGATTTTAGTAGTTTCAGAGCTTTTGAACCATTTCAAAGCTTGGAATGTTTTGTTTTGTTTTATTGCAAACGTTATTTATGGTACCAAACTTAGTTCTACAGCAATGTTGTTGCTTGTATTTTGCTTCATGGATCTCAAAATAACGTGTGTTGATCTTCCATAACTTAAAGAAAAAAGGCATATTTACATGGCATATTTTGCTGATTTATAGGAAAAGATTTATACACTTAAATATGTTTTAGTTGTGTAAATTAGGTAGAGATTATGCTAAGAATGAGATCTGCTCATTTGTATTTTGGGGTATGTCTGTCTTTGGCAGGTGTTTGAGGATGGGTGAGCATTTCTCTGCTGTCAGTAGTTTAGCAAAGTCTTTTCTGACTTGAGAATTCTTTGTTTTCACGACTTGGAAGTCTCTGAGAGCTTCAAATGCTCTTAGTTTTATCAGCCCTTCTCTGCTCTTAGTATGATGTGAATAGCTCAGGTGTGGAATATTGTTACAAAAGTTGGCTTTGAGCTGACATACACTTAAAACCTTTGAAAGCTTGTCTTATTGGTTAAGTGTATGAAATCCAAACCAAAGAAAACAGCTATAGACCTAGTATGCCTGCAGTGTTTGCTACCAACCTACTGGTATTTACTTGATGGTAATTCTAGCCTGTTGTGTCAAAGTAATGAAATAATATACCCTGCCTAATACATAGCGGGCACTTCACACTATAACTGTTGAACAAGGGAGAAATGGCTTCCAAGCCCTGCACCTTGCAGTGCTTTAGCCCTAGAGATGTGAGCACTGCATGCGACTGGGATGCCCGAGGGATTTGTTGGCACCGTGGGGAACACCAGGACATCCCACACAGTCTCTTGAGCTCTTAGCTTCTCCTCTTTCCAAACCATGTTGCACACCTGCAGGAGGGAGAAATCCTTCTGCATTTTGCCAGTGCCTGGGAGAAGGTCTGAAGCATATTTTTGACATAAGTATCTACTGGAGCAGAGAATGGACAAAACGCAAGTGGTTTGCTCAAAAACATTTGTTAATGAAACTTTTTAAAACTAGTGGTAGTTCACTTTTGGTATTAACTCTGCTGTGTGTATCATATTTACCTGTCTGCACTAAGAGTGCAGGGAAAAGGGAAAAAATTACTAACACGTGTATAGACCTGAAGTGATGACAGCCTGTTGCGTTTTGACGCAACTTAATGCAGTCTTTCTTTTAATCTGGCTATTTTGGTGGAAAGCTTCTTGTTTTGTTGTGGTCTAGTTTTTGTGTAGCTCTTCCATCCTCATGGGCTGGCGTGGTAGGAATGGGTCGGAGAATAATTCACATTTAACTTAAGTATGAAGTGTAATGCAGTTGTTTTGTATGTTCTGTTTTATCTGTCCATTATTGGTTATTTTGTTAAATTACATTCTGCAAAAGATAGAGCTTTTGTTTAAGCCTGTGAAAGGAATAATGTTAATGAAAAATCCTTTTTGTGTTAGATACAATTATATGAAAACATATGAGCCTTCCGAGACAGTGCATCTCGCAGTGGTTGCCTGTGGTGAAAGACTGGAGGAGACAGTTACTATGTTGAGATCAGCCATTATTTTCAGCATCAAACCTCTCCAGTTTCATATTTTTGCTGAGGATCAATTACATGAGAGCTTCAGAGACATAGTAAGTACCCAAAACATTTATTTAATAAATGTGCAATTGGAGTAATACTTAAACATTTATCAGCTACTTGGGTGGTAGTTGAATGTAGTGGCAGAAATAAAGAAGTCTGAGGTAATGTGCAAGTGTTTCCTAGTGCTGGATGGGGATTTTTAAGTTTTTTTTTTCCTTTTAAAAAAATGCCAGTTGCTGATACTGAGGCTTCTCACAGAGACAGACCCAAACTTCATGATTTGTCACCTTGTATTTGCTAAATAGAAACCTGATGTTCTGACCACAAACCAGTTTTATTGTGTGAGCTTGAACGCAGTTGATTTTACAAGAAGAAATCTGTCCTTTTTCATCCCTGTATTTACTTTCTGAGTCAGCTTTATTTTGTCTAAGCAAAAGGAAACCTCATTCTGTGAAAACGTTGGATGTGGTTACATCTAATTTTAGCAGCTTCCAGTTTATGGGTATAACATTGGCGGGAGTGACAGTATTAGAAGCTGACTGGTATATACCTTTGGAGGGTTTTACTATTTTTTGTGCTCAAAATGTCATACTTTAGGGAATTGTGGTAAAATTAGATAAGCTTGTTTTAAACTGGGAAAGACTTCATTGATGGTTTTCCTGTGGAAATTAGTTAAGGGGAGAAAATGTCTGGATTTACTTCCTGTAAATACTGATGGATTTTACTTGCTCTTATGTATGTGATCTGATATGATGTTTTCTTCATTGTGTCCTGCAGGTGCCACTTTTTGCTTAAGTATTTTGAGTAGCTGACAGATTTTTGCAGTTCAGGAAACATTTCTGCTTTGGAAAAGAGGTGTTGCAGTTGTGTTCAATTATTAGTAAGATATGATTCCCCATAACATTGAACTCATGTAATTTTTTGTGATCTTTTCATCTAGCTTGATGACTTCCCATATGAAGGAAAAGTTAATTACACATTGTATCCAATAACATTTCCATCAGAAGGTGCGAAGGAATGGAAGAAGTTGTTCAAACCATGTGCTTCACAAAGGCTATTCTTGCCAGTAAGTTTATTGTGTTACAAATACAGAAGCATCAAGCATTTTGCTAATCTTATTTCTGCTTAGTTTTAAATCAAGAACCGCTGCTCCTAAAAGTCAGTTATGACATTCTAAAGAACCTCTAAGTTTTCTGGTAATACACCCTGGAATACAATTCCCTTTCTCAGTTGCTGCATAATGTAATTGTATTCCTGGTGCTTATTGTAGGTTGCTTATGTCACCCTCTCAGAGATAAGGATTTATCACGCATCTCATTTATTTGTTAAGTTTCCTGCTTGCATGGGTCTAAGAGGAACAAAACAAGAAACAGCCTGTTGTTACCAGTGTTTTCGGCAGCCTTTTATTTGCTCGTCTAAGACTTCAGTAATCATCCTTCATGCCAGATGAGCTGTAGCAGTGGCAGCCATCTCCCAAACATTGTCACTTGTGGGGTTTCCTTACACTTGCCTCATTGTTTGATTAGTTGCATATCAAAGCAAGGGAAAGGGCAGAAGTTAGGAGGTTCTGTTATTGCAGTGTTTTACTTGGCCTACAGCCTTCTCCCAAGGAGACCCAGGATATAAAATACAAATGTTGGCATTGCTCTGTTGTATTATTGTTGTACATCAAACCTCTGTTTCAGTCTGCAGAAATTCTCAAAAAGAGAAGAGGAAATAAATTTTTTTTGCTTACAAACTGACAGTCTAAGGTGAATTTATTTGTATGTGTCAAAAATATATTAAAAGTACAAATTGCCATAGTTTGTTTTATTAAGAGAAGCTGAATTAGTTAAGTTGGGTTTTAAACTTCTTTTCCACTTCTTTTCAGTTAATCCTGAAAGACGTGGATTCGTTGTTGTACGTTGATACTGACATACTGTTTTTGAGACCCGTTGATGATATTTGGTCTTTTCTGAGAAAGTTCAACTCCACACAAATTGCTGCAATGGCACCAGAGCATGAAGAGCCTCGTATTGGGTGGTATAATCGCTTTGCACGGCATCCCTATTATGGAGCGACTGGAATAAACTCTGGAGTCATGTTGATGAATATGACACGGATCAGAAGAAAGTATTTCAAGGTATGTATATTGGGTTTATTGCAGTTTGTTTTCATACATCTTTTAATTGCAAATTCCTGTTTCTAATTCATCTGGGACAGTATTTTCATCCCAAATTCATCTGGGACAAATATGTTCTTGTAACTGGAACGGTGATCTAAAAAAGCTGTATTTAAAGCGGTATCTAAAGATAAATTCTTGATTTGTAAGTCTGCTTGATTCTTTTAATTTTTTTTCTTGAATATCATGTGACAGGATATAATCAGTAGCTTTAAATTATGTTTGTCAGTAGATATTTTCCTGCTTTTCTTCACTTCAGAGCTTTCAGAAAACAGTTTATGTGTATTATTAACTAACTTTAAGAATGTGTGTATGTAGTAATACAACCAGGAGGTGGTGCTAAAACATTTAGTAAGTTATTTTAACTGTGCCATTTCTAAATTTTGATCTTTGAAAGCTTAACCAGCTGATAATCAACTTAAGTACCTTTGATTTACTTTGCGTTCTTAGTTTCTGTAGAGAAATAACTATGTCATGTAAATATTTGGTAAAGCAACATGTCCAGTACAAGAAGTAGTAGTTGCTTCACAGATTTTTTTTCCCTGTATACTTGACAAGTACAAAAGCAGTGTTGCATAATTATGCTACTATCTTACTTTATACTTTAAAAAAAAAAAGACAAAAACAAAACACAACAAACCACACAAGAAGCTGAGAACAACCACAGAAACAAAACTGCATGAAGATGGGAAGAAGTCTGATTAGGGAAAACAGTCACGCAGTCAAAAACTAGGGGAAGGTACACCTTAAGAGTGACAACATACATTTAGAATCATTTTAGAATCAATTGTTGAAGTTGGAAAAGACCTCTAAGATCACCTAGTCAGTGGATGCCCAACCATTTGGCTAGCCTGTGCCACACTGAGTAAAGAGGAATTGTTTAGGCTGCATATACATGTCACTCCGAAAGTAATGCCTTTTATTAATTTCCATGGGAACTGCAACAGATACAGTGAGTACAATAACTCTGCTTGATAGAGCAAATGCTCAGCAACAGAGCAGTATTTTATAACACCCTTAGCTATGCATTTTCACCAGCGATGAGCAAGAAGCTGCATACCATGCTCATCAAAGCCTGCACCAGTGGAAGAGACCCACTGGCACTGTCACCACTGCTAAAATGCACCACTGTGCTCACATTCGCTGTTTGGTCTCCAAAAATGTTCAGCAAGTGTTAATGAATGTCAACAGACACTTTTTTTTTTTTTTTTCATGGAGGAATTAAATGACACACCTTTGTTTCATATGTACATCCATGTCAGACACCATTTGATCAGACTGCTCCTCTGCTGCTGTCTGTCTCATGGCAACAAAATGTAATGGGATATTGGCAGGAAGGTTCAACCTTTACTGCTGCACCACCAACATCTGCCTGTGATGTTGTGGGCCAACAGAATAGAATATGAGGCATTACTTTTAGAGCAACTGTTGTAAAATATATAGAGCTACAAAAACATAAAACTGCTGCAATATTTGACCGTGTTTTTGTTAAACTAATGCATTACCTTCTGATTTGATGGCAGTGGTTGCAATTTTTACTGAGTTCTCAAAGTGCTCATTGGAGATATTTTATGAGGTTTTACTTTTCCTGTCTTCATCCTTGAAAACATTTGTTCACAAACGTACCTACTGCCAAAAGTGATGACATGAGTAAGATGTGTCTTGAACAGAAGGATATTTTTTTGTTAAGAGAGGTCTTATAAAAGTCTAGTAAAGAGACATGATCAAATTTTGGAGTTGAATATTTATACATTCAGTTTGAAAATTTGCAGATTTATGTCGACTGAAAATGGTGTTGCAAGCATAAATTGATGATTTTTTTTTTTTGTGACCTTGAAACCTATTCTCAAATTCCTTTATAAAAACTGAAAGCACAGCTACTTGGTATTTTTTGCTGTTCACAGGACTGTGTTTAGCCAATGTATCAAAATATAGACAGTTTGCCATAACTTGAGTTAGCACTGCACTGCTCCTTCCCTGTGCCCTGCTTTCAGCCTAGACAGTGCTGATATCACACAGTGTTTGGGTGTTGTGAGTGATGGGTGTGCACCTAGCCACTCAGGAGGGAAGAGCCACCACTGGGGGCGGGCCGCATTATGAGCTGTGCCAGGCTGAGTGTGGTCCACAGGCTGCTTTAGTCCAACCATTCACCTATCATCAATGTTGCCCACTAAATCATTTTCCTTGGTACCACATCTACAAGTTTCTTGAACACTCGAGGTATAATGACTCAACCCTGGGCAGCCCATTCCAGTCCTGACTACTCTGTAGGAGCTTTTCCTAATATTCAGCCTGAACATCCCATGGCACAACTTGAGGCTGTTCCCTCTCGTCCTATTGCTAGCTAAAAGTGATGTCAGAAGTGGGATTCGAACCCATGCCTCCATTAGGAGACCAGAATATGCAACTGACACAGGAAGGTGTGGAACACCTTCAGCCTGGCACCTTTGGCCATTCAGACATTCTGATGCTGCACATTTGCTACGGTTATTACTTTTTTCCCCATCTCCAATTTAAGAAATATTTAGCTTCCATCGTAAAGTGCTTTTAATGCCTTTTGGTTTTGAAAATACTGAGAATATAAGAAAAATAAAGAACAGTTTAGTTCAAGTATGAAGTTAACAGTAGGTGTAATATGTAGCTGTAACATAGCTGTAACTTTCCTGTGGTGTAACTCTAGCTACTGTACCTCTTGCTCAATACAGAAGTAAGAGGAAAATAGAGGTGTTTTCTGTAACTTTTCAGTATGCAGGTTTTAACATGGTTGCTGAGAACTTGTTTCTTGCATTAATTCTTTTATCTTCCATTTCTATGTCTTTCTTTCCCCTACTTTTCTCACTCTTTTTTTTTTGAGTCTGATTGTCTTGAGCAAGAAACAGATCTAATTCTTGAATGCATGATGTAACATACACAGATTTTATTGCTCAGTAGGAGTATTTTGATATGCCTTCTTTGGTTTAGAATGTTGTCTGTATCATTCAGATTCTTGTATAAAAAAAATGAATATCTGTTGATATTCATTCCAGGTGTTTTACCTCTGTTATACATGCCTGAAAGTGTATTTGCTATTTGTTCAAGCTGTGAATTTGTAAGGATAGCTACTCTCTCCAAAGTGGCTGACTTGCTAAGACTTCACTTCAGACTTCACTGCTAATGGCCAACTTATATATCAGTGGATATTTGTTGGTACTGGCAGGCTTTTTTCATAATTGTTTCAGGAGGAACACTGCCTCATGATTTCTAACCTATGCTGCTGACTTAGTGCTACCTCCTGTTGAGCACACTGGAGAAGTGTCTTGTGGTATCAGACTTGGTGTAGGCATGCTTAGCCCAGTAGGAATGGTTTGAAGTTATCTAGAGAGAAAGCTGCATCTGAAACCTAGTATTACAGTGCTCAGTCATTTTCTTTTCTTGTCAATGGCAGTGAAGCCTGGGAAACATCTGAGCAGAAAATGAGTTTCTCTTACAGAGAAATTGATGATTGAGATCTTGGCATAGAGAGCGTTCAGATCTGAGATTATTAAGATTATGTTCCCCTACTATGTACAGTGTGGTGCCACAAGCTTGTGGTGTATCACAGAGCCTTGAGATGCAGAGGCTTTCTTACAGACGCTGCTGTTCTTAATAGATCTGTTTTCATCTTCAGGTACCTTGAATGTCTTGTAAGGAGAATTGCTTGATCTGAAAAATAGTAGGCTGTGCAGCAAAACTTTGAAAAGAATTTAGTGGAGTTGAGACTATACACAGTAGGCCTGAGTGTATGGCTTCACTTGATACTGATAGTAAAGGAGCTTCTAGTCTTGAACCTTTAGAAGAGAGGGAAACTAAATTCAGGGGTAAGGTCTGTACTAATATCCCTGGCCAGCAGCAACAGCATATGCAAGTGTAAGGTGTTGCATTTGGATTGAGGCAATCCTAGATATGAGCACAGACTGGGAGAACTCTGTGAGAGCAGCCCTGCAGAGAAGGACTTATGGGGTCTGGTGGATGAAAAACTGGACATGAGCCAACGGTGTGTGCAGCAGCTCAGAGAGCAATCTGTACCCAGGGCAGCATCAAAAGAGGGGTGGCCAGCATGGAGAGGGAGGTGATTGTCCCACTCCGCTCTGCCCTTGTGAGGTTCTATCTGGAGTACAGCATGCAGGCCAGCGGCCCCCAGCACAAGGAAAATGTGGCACTGTTGGAGTGGGTCCAGAGGTGGGCCATGAAGGTGATCAGAGAGCTGGAGCACCTCTCCTGTGAAAGAAAGGTTGGGGGAGCTGGGCTCGTTCAGCCTGGAGAAGGCTCTAAGGTAAAGCTCATTGTGGCCTTCCAGTACTTAAAAGGAGTTTGTGAATGGAAGGCAGGCCAGCTTTTTTGCGTGGTCAGATAGCAGTAGAACAAGGGGAACGATTCTAAAGAGGAGAGATTTAGGTTAGATGCTAGGGGGGATTTTTTTTCCACAGAGTGGTGAGGCACCAGAACAGATTTCCAGGAGAAGCTGTGGATGCCCCATCCCTGGAGGCACTCAAGGCCGGGTTGGATGGGGCCCCGGGAAACCTGCACTGGTGGTTGATAACCTTGCCTAGGACAGGAGGTGAGAAGCAGTGATTGTGAAGGTCCCTTCCAATCCACGCCATTCTAGAATTTCTTGCTTCTGAACCTTGCAAGTACCGACCCATGTTGTGTCTCATTTCTTACCTACTCTAGTTAAGTAACGTCAGAAATAGAAAATGCTTCATTTTCTTATAGGGTGGTCAACATTTGTTTATATTCATTCAGGAGAATCAACAAAGACCTTAAGTAGACATAATATTTTGGAAGCTTTATGTCTTCAAAAATCTGCGTTAGACTTCTTTCACATCTGAAGAGTGGAAGTTCTGGGTCAGGATATCCCTCCAATATGATAGATTTGAGTATGTGGCTTTCTTTATTGTAGTTTCTTTGGAATAAAATTGAAGACTTTGTTGCTTGAGACCTTTAAGATTCTTGCTTGATTTGTGAAAGTTATAAAAAACCAGAAAATGAATAATAAAAAAAGAACTGGACATTAGCCAGCGGTACTAGAACATTTTCTGCTATTTTCTGCTCACCCAGGTAGAAGAAAAGATGTAGCTTAATGTCTCAGTCCAGAATTAAGTTATCTTTTATTCACTTAGTTATCTTAGTTATTCTAAACTCAGCCTTCTTAGAGCTCTCTATTCATTTTAGAAAAGCATCCTAGCTATTTGCCTATGGTGTCTAATAGTTCCTAGTTCTACTTTCTTATTTCTTTTTTGTGCGTTTTATGAGACTGTGTGCATGCATACAGTAAAAACAAATGCACTGCTTATATGCACGTGCATACACATGAATGTAGTGTGATTATTTTACATTGCATAGCCAAAGATAAGGCTCAAACTGGTAAAGAAACTCTATATGGACAGTGCCTGTCTGTCATTTTCTTTGCAAAGCAGAAGTTGAAAATGGGAATGTAAAATGTGCAAGAATATTTAGGAGGTACATTTGTATATGCTTGGTGAATGTAATCTTTCTGGAATTCAGTAAGGCTTTGATACTGTCCCCACAGCATCTTTTGGGCAAAGCATCTTCTGTTCAACTGTGAGATGAAGAGTTAGTGCTGCACTGGGTGATAAAATGTCAGAATGGCAGAGCTCAAAAGGCTGTGGTAAATGGGTTTTCATCTGGCTGTCGGGTGTTCACTAGTGATGTTCTCGAGGATCAGTTTTGTGCAACATTTTTATCAGTGATCTGGATGCAGAAGTGGAATACATTTGTAGCAGGTTTGCTAATGATACTGAACAGGGAGGTGCTGTTGATTTACTAGAGGGATGGAATGATCATTGAAATTCCCTTCCAAATGAACCATTCTATAGACACAGACACTTATAAACTGGAAGGGACGTAGCCAATAACATAGCAATGTGGTGCTTTAACAGAAAGTCCTAGACAAGTGAGGCTACATGAAAAGAGAGTAGTGATCTTTTTCAAATACATAAGGAGACTTAGGCATTGCTATACTTAATGTTATATATAATGCTTGAGACATAATCACCCACAGAAACGAACAAACGTACAAAATCAAACAAGCCTCAAGCAAAGTAACTCTAGATAGTGTATAGAAGGGCAAGGTTCATGGGTATGCTTTAAACAAACAGCAGAGAATTTATAAAACCTGAACACAATTTCTGTGACCACTCTGTATGGCTTGAGGCTGTAGTTCTGAGAAACATAGTAAGCTCTTTTCAGTAGGTTTTTGCTTCTTTTCTTGATTGCTTTGTCCTAACCTCTGTTGTTTGTTGGATCCTTCCATGAACCAATTAAATTTGATAGAGAAAAGAATATGTTCTGCTGATTCGGTGAAGTAAATCAGGTCGCTACTACTACTACTACTACTAATAATAATAATGAAGAAACCTCAAGGGTTAAGCACTACAGTTTTGAGGCAAGAACAGGATGGAGTTATGTAACCACCAGAAGAAATTCCTCTCATATGACATTAATGAAATTATAAATTGGTCAGTGATTGTGGATCTGCAGCTTCAGATTCTGTAGGTAATACTGTATGATTTGAGTATGTTTCCTCAACTTTATGTTCTCCTAGCAGTATTAAGAGGAAGTTTAATACTAGGTTGCTGCCGACTGAGTATGACAGCTTTACTGACATCAGCTTTAGTTAGACAGAAGTACTCTGGGAGCCTTTCTGAACCAGCCATGACCAAGCTGATGAAAGCAAAGCATCTAACTCCAAAATACTCAAAAAAATTTCTTAGTGCTCTTTGGTATATTTTGTTTGTAAGTACCATGAAATCAGAGAATGTTCTGAGTTGGAAGTGACCCACAAGGATCGTGGAGTCCCAGTTTGTGGCTTCACACAGGACCACTCAAAGTTTGTAATTGTTTTGTTCCATTCAAAAAAGCTGAGATCTGGAAGGTTTGTAGAACTTGTCTGTAACAGCTTGATGGCATTTTAAAATACCACAGAATGTTTTCTATGCTGCTTCTTACATCTTTTCAACCTCCTTGGTAATTTTTTGGATATTGGAAATGTAGTTTATATTTTAGAATCTTTTAATGATAACGATGGTTACTTCTTTCATATTCACCTGGGTAACTTTTGAAAAATAATTCTTGTGTTGGTTTGGATTGAGCTCGAGGATTCTGTTTCTCACTCTGACCTCACTACAAGTGGAGTTGTGCAGAACGATGTTATAAAATTCAATTCAAGAAATGCAAGCAATTTTTCTTACACAGTGATTCTTACGCTGGCTTCACTGTACATCCATGCTAATAAATTAATATGTAACTTCTTTATTTATGCAAAGGTTATTGAAATATTAGAATTTCCAATTCTTAAATCTAATAGCAGTATTTGTCAAGTGCTGTTGCTTCTGGACATCTGGCAATGTGATGTATGCTGTTACCTGCTTTTTATCTCCTTGGGATATACTCTGTATTTCAGTATTATTAAATAACTATGCAAGCTAAATGAAAATTCTATGAATTAATTGTTTTGACAATTTAAAGTAATATATTTATGGGTTGCTCTAAATCTTTTAAAAATTATTTTTATTTTTTAGTTCTTTATACTCTCTTGCTATGATTAACATATTAAATTAGAATTAAGAATTAATAGATTTAAGAATAAATTAAGAATTAAATTAGCTCACCGTTCTTAGCATCGAGTGCAAGTTTAAACCTTTGATCAATATTTTGTGGATGGCAAAATCCAAGTGAGGCAGTAATCTTTATACATGGTGCTTCAGTCTAATAGATTTGCTTTTTGGAAGGCTTAGGCTGTATCTTCTTCTGTTTAATCACATTGCACAGAGCCTAATTATTATTCTTGCTAGAGAAGAATTCTCTTGTGCATTTCTTATGCCTGATCCTGTCAAATACTTGGAAGCAGCCATAGTCATAAATTTTTAAGGCCAGAAGGGACCATGGTATCATTCAGTTTGGCTTCTTACATAATATAAACTATAGATCTTTTTTTTTTTTTATTAATTTCTGTCTGAAAATTGATTGTATTTCATCTTTTTTTTTTTAATCTTGCGTTCCAAAAGCTTTCCATATTTGATGGCTGACTTGATTTGAAGAAAAACTAAAACAGAAACTGTTGCTGTAGGTGCTTTCTAGTTTCTTAGAAGAAAGCTTGTAGGGGAAAGCCTTTGATGCTGTGGTTCTAAAACTGAACATTGTACCCCAGGTAATCTCTTCTGCTTTGTAACATGGTGTTTTTGGATACAAATCCCAAACAATGCTGAAGTTCAATTTTTAAAAAAATTCTCAGCTTGGTTAATAAGAATCAAGGGCTAATTCTATATTTGCTCTGGAATTTTCTCTCTTTAGGATGTCTTGTTATTGCATCCTCTCTCTCTGAACTAAAATAGAAGGCACAGAGTGAGCAACCTTGTTCCTGTTCTGTTCTGTTTGAGCTTAAATGTGGTATAAAGATAAGAAAATAGCTTTAGAATATATATGACTTTTATGCTGCATGTAGTAACCTCTTTTTGGTAATGTGAAGTTCAGCACAGGCCAGCTTACTTTAAACATCATCTCCTAACCCAAGCTTTAGAAGTTTATCTTCTGAACTGTAATTAACCAACAGTTTGGGAAATAAGTAACAGCTATTGGTTTAGTCATGCTGCATTTTGCTAGGGAAAAGTTGTGCCTTTGCTGTGGAAATAAAAAAAATTAAAAAATAATATAAAATAAAAAAAAAAAGAAGATTCAACTCTAGGAAAATTCTTTGGAAAACTTTTGAAGAATGTCTATGTTTTTTATGCATTACTTTTTATGCATATCCTTCTGCCTGTGTGTGTTTGGGAATATTAAATAAATAATTTTATATTGATCCATTTTGAAATTTTTAAAGTTAACTATAAAATGTATGTATGCTCGCAGTTTTTTGGTAAAGAACAAGAAATTGCTTGAAGTGTGGAAGTTTCAGCAGTGCCAGTGTACTTGGCACACATCAATTGAAATCTGGTTTTGTATTGAATTTACTGCTGTACAGAAACCTATAAGACAAAAAATAATTTGATATTTCTTAGAAGACGTTTTAAAAGGAAATCTTGAGAACTCATCAAGGCAGGAGTAGGAGATGCATATAATTTTGCTTATCATAAGATAATAAGAAATAAAGTATATTGGAAGTGGTTTAGCTGTGTTTTCCCTCTGTGCAGTCATTTCTTCAATAGGAATAAATACATAAACACGTGCAAACCATTTGAGATTTGTGGCTTTGAGAAGCAAATGCTGCAATTCTATAGGGCATTTCCTTCTTTGTTAGCATAGCTAACCTGAATGGATGACTCTTTAGCCTTGTTCTGTCTCATAGAATGATATGACAGCAGTCCGGTTACGCTGGGGAGAAATTCTTATGCCTCTGCTGAAGAAGTACAAGTTGAACATAACGTGGGGTGATCAGGATCTGTTGAACATAATGTTTTTTCACAATCCAGGTAAATCCACATTGATTTTAAGTCTAATGTGACAAAGCTGATGTTTTGTATGATCAGAAATCCAGAAAAATGATTTAGAAAACCTTTCAGTGGAAGAATTCACACAGAATCACAGAATCACCCGGGTTGGAAGGGACCTCAAGGATCATGTAGTTCCAACCCCCCTGCCTAGCAGGGCCACCAAACACACACATTCAGATCAGGTTGCCCAGGACCCCGTCCAATCTGGCCTTAAACACATCCAAGGACGGGGCATCCACTACCTCCCTGGGCAGCCCGTTCCAGGGCCTAACCACTCTCCTTGTATAGAACTTCCCCCTAACATCCAACCTAAATCTTCCCTCCTTCAACTTCGATCCATTTCCCCTAGTCCTGCTGTTGTCAGCCCTTTTGAAGAGTTTACTCCCCTCGTGGGTGTAGGTTCCCTTCAGGTACTGATAGGCTGCAATGAGGTCACCCCGCAGCCTTCTCTTCTCCAGGCTGAACAAGCCCAACTCCCTCAGCCTGTCCTCATAGGGGAGGTGCTCCAGCCCCCTGATCATCTTAGTCGCCCTCCTCTGGACCCTTTCCAAAATCTCAATGTCTTTCTTGTACTGAGGGCTCCACACCTGGACACAGTACTCCAGATGGGGCCTCACAAGAGCCGAGTAGAGAGGGACAATCACCTCCCTGTCTCTGCTGAAAGAATTCAGTAGACTTTTTAATGGTTGTTTGCTTTTCCTTATCTAAGAAATAGTCTTTTCATTGATAAGCAAAATTGAAATGTCCTATAGTTTGATTTGTTGTTAGGTTTTAGAACAACTGTAGAGAAATTCATGAAGCACTATTAATGTAAAATGAGAAATATGAATGTGTCCCCAGCAACAATTTTGATACTTAATCGAATTATTATTATTTTTTTTCTGCACAGAAAGTCTGTATATCTTTCCTTGCCAATGGAATTATCGGCCTGACCACTGCATTTATGGAAGCAATTGTAAGGAAGCTGAAGAAGAAGGTATATTTATTCTTCATGGAAACAGGGGTGTTTACCATGATGATAAACAACCAACTTTTAGGGCTGTGTATGAAGCAATAAAAAATGTAAGTGTGTTCAGCATTTAGTTGTGCAAAATTTGCCTTTATTGCAACAGTGTAATTTCTTTCCCTTTGAAGTAAATTTTAGACATTTCACTGATTTTGGGTTTACTGTTTGTATGGATTTCCAATGTATTCATTTTGTGACTAACATCGATTTTAACATTGTACAGACTGAATTTAGGTTATGATTCTAAAACACTGCCTGTACCTGCATCGTGTTTATTTGAAAGACTGTTCCCATCCCCTTAGTGAGTACATCTTGTAAACTTTATGGACATATGGAGACCACTGAAGTTTAACTTTCCTGGAGGTTTTAAAATGAAGAAGAAAAAATGTTTTTCCTCCCAAAGTTTGCACATACTTACTGCAATGTTTTAACATTTGATGGTAGCTAGATTTGGAGGATAGACAATACTTTTTATGCAGCGTTTTGAACTTTGTTAGAGATTCAAGGTATAAATATGTTACTGTTCACTTAAATGCTTAGTACAGTGACTTCTTTTCATTCTGCAAATAAGTCATCTCATAAACTATTTATCACTGCATTGGTGCGCTCACTGAAGTGCTGTAAAATGTAGCACTGATGCACATTTTAATGTAGCAGGCTATTGTATGCATATAACCTTCAAAAATCAATAGTATATTTTAATGGTGCTTTATTACGTGTTGTCATATGGATATAAAAATGAGAAAAAGTACTTTTGGGGGTCTGAGAATACGTTGCAGGGAAAGTGAATGTGTTTCCATAAAGGTACAATTTCTTTGTTTCCTTTGAGTGTTGTCAAAAACAGAAGAAAAAATTACTTGTTTTTATTTACGTTCCCATTTGCTTTATGTATATGTCAGAGAAAGTGTATGAAACACTGCTGATCCAGTGGTAATAAGGTGAACAAAATTAGGTTAGTTTGAAATACTGTTTAGTTTTTCATTTGTTTATAACAATATTGCAATGTAGAGTTAATGACTTCTTTATTTCATGTCCATGTTAAGCACAGTATGTGCTTGACCATCATTCAGTTTAATGAAGCTTTCTGCTTTCAGTAGTCCTACGTACTCCTCATGCTGTTATTTTATTGTACAGATGGAAAAGAGTTGAGTTCCTTAAAGTTGTGTTTCATTCAGGAAAGTTACTGGTCAAGAAATAAGCAGAAACCATTTAAAATTGGTAATTTTTTCATTAAAAAATGTAACTTTAAATTTCCCATATGCTTCTTTGGGGTATATTCATCTGCTTATTTAAAAACAAGCAAAAATTCACCTGTTTGGCATACTGTTGAAAGTGTTTGAGCATACTGTGTAGTTCAGTGATTATTTTCTCGAAACCATTCACTAGTGTATAAAACCAAATATGATGCTCAAAGCCATTTCTATAAAATTCTTTAGTAACTCTGAGTAGTAATGTATGTCAATCTTGTATTACTGACATTAAATCTTTGTTATGCTCTTTACAGTATTCATTTGGAGATGATCTGGTTCGTTCACTGTTGCAGCCCCTAGAACTGGAACTACAGAAAACAGTGCATACATACTGTGGGAGAGTGTACGAAGTGTTCATAAAGCAGCTGAAAAAAAGCATAAAAGACTTGTCTATCAGAAGATCAAAGGGAAGTTGATTAAAACTGCAAGCTCTTAAATCAAGAGACTGAGTTAATGTACTGGTCAGAAAGTGCAACAGTATGGCTTGAATTGGCTCTTAATGTGCCCAGATAAAAGTTTACTAGCGTACATAAAAATGAAGAAAATATTCACATAATGAAGAACAGGAACTCCTTTTTCCTGCAAGGGTGACCTTTTTCTCTTTTGAAGGTTAATCACTGCTACTGTTGGATCTGATGATTTAGATGCTATTGATTTCTATGGTCAGTGGGTTTAGTCTACATAATTCAATTATCTCTGATGATGAAACAAACAAGGGAGAAATGAAAATGGCTCTATTTGGAAGTGTACCTCATTGTCTAAAATTCATTTAAACTGTGAATGTAGCAATAACTGAGTCAGCAGCACTAACCTCACTTTAAAGGTGTGATCACAAAGTTGTTTACAAGTGCAGAAAATACTCTGTTTTCAAAGAAATACAATACAATCATTGACAATCTGTATGTGCCTTTATATATTCATCTCTTATACGTGTTGGGTTACTGTTTTGACAATCTTGCTGTGTTTATCTTTGATGTAAACTGCACACTATGAATACAGTTTTCTTAAAAATGAATAGCTAGTATGAGATACTAGTTTTCTGTCTGTAGATACTGAGAATTTGTTTCAATATTGTTGAGCCCTCTTGTCTAGATGATATAGTTGAATTGAGAGGTTCTGTATTTTTGCAACAATATGAAGATATTTTTCATAGAATACTTTTTAAAAAAAAATGTTTTGCAGCTTTATAGGATGTTTTGGAAGTAGGAAAAAAAAAGGTGGATGGTGGATAGCTGGCTCTGTGTTTTCTTACTAAGAATCGTTACATGATGATCATTATGGAGTATTTAGTACCTAAAATTGAAGGGCTGTGGTAAAAGTTCTGATGTTTCATCAGACTGTATATTAGATGTTTTCTTTAGAGAATATATCCTATTACCATGTTTTGTTTTGTTTTTTTTTTTTTTCAAATAACATGGATTTAAAATAGTTTTGAGCCAGACCCTTGACTGCATGATTATATGAATATTGAATAGGGTGTTAGTGATTTACAACAGTTAAGGATTAAGCTTTCTGTAGGTATCTTGATGGAAAAAAATTAATGTTTATGTAAGGCAAATGTTAAAAGAGAAAAGCATAGGAAAAGATGATTGACTTCTAATGTTATGGTAAAATACTATTTAAACATGCATGGTATTAAATGTATTTGTAAGTGTACTTGAATTGAACTCGTAACCTGAGATGAAGCCTTTATGAAGTGAGTTTTTCGGATTCCAGAAAAGCTCCTGTGTGATGAACCTTGGAGGATCTACTTGCTGACTTGCGCCTTCATTCTGACTCCATTTTAGAAGCTTAATGTTTGTGGCTCTTTCTTTGACAAAGGCAGACTGGTTTGGAATCGCAGATCCACATAAGCTTTAGCAGCACAGAAGCGCACTCGACTGTAAGCAGAGTTTGTGTTCTGCACCTGTCTCCCTGCTGGCTCAGGGTGCAAATCTGTGGAATGCCAAATAGAAAGTCTGCCTCACGTGTAATTTGTTTGTTTCCCTTGTTAAGTGTAATCTTTTGAAGACTGAGAATCTAGAAATCTCTGTGAAGGTGAATACTGTTACTGACTGATATAACAGTATGCAATACATTATTTTTTTTACATAAATACAAATTTTATATCAATTTGTCATCAGGGTGGTTTTTTTTTTTCTTACTTACACCGTCTATATTTACAAATTCTTTCACTTGGCTTGTTTCTTTTCTGCTTGTCTTGAGAAAATTACTGTTTGGAATATGGTGTGTGCATGCAAGGGCGCTATTTGAAAACCAGTGAACCATTTTGGAAAATAAACATAACGTGAGCATTATCAGCAACCCTTCCAATTACATTTCAGTTTGTTGGATTAGAATCAAAAGGTTAATAATGAAACTAATTGTAGAATAAAAATTCTTATTTGCTTATTTCAAGAAGCATTTATCTAGCATATTATAAACACCAGAATATACTGTGTTATGCCATAGTCCACTTTAAATGTTTAGAATATAAATTTTCAAGCCTCTCACCCTCAACTCTGTTTCCAAATAACAAGTGAGCACTCTAGAAAACATCAAAAAAGACCAGAAGTGCTGAGTAGCTTACATTAAGTAACTCTCCAGAGTACTTGCTGTTTTTCAATTTTATTTCAATTCTATCACACCTATTTCTTAAGTTTCAGAAGATGACCTGCATTGTAAAACCTTTAGAGGCAGTTAAGGGGACTGGAAAATTAATTACTATGGCAGAAACCAGTTATATTCTGAAGCATTTCAGTACTTGCTTCGTAAGGTTACATACACCTTAAATGTAGAAACCTGTATCCAGCCTGTAAGTCTTTATTGCTGTCTAGTTTTAGAAACACTGTTTTTTCTGCAGACATAGTAAGTAAACAGTAAAATAGGGCCAGTCAAATTATAGAACTTCAGAAATGCTGTTCTTCCTGTTTTACTAGAGAAAGTATTTACAATTAATACTTTTGTAGAAAAAATGTAAGCATGCATGTTTGGGTTAAATCGAGGTAATTTGGTCATACTTGATTTCTCTTTTCAAAATTATGGTACCGTTATTTCTTTTTAAAGAGATCACAGACTCATGGGAGAATAATTTTATTTGAAGGTTTGTTCTCATTTGTATGAAACTGTCTTTTTTTTTGTAGGTACTATGAAAGACACGTGGTAATATAGATGGCACTAAGGTGTCCTTATAGATGGAGCCTTGTACCTGTGCCTGCTAATGAGGCTGATGAGCCTTACAAAAATCTTTCGAGTTGCTTCCAGTTTTGCCAAAACTCAGATGGAAGGTGACTTCAATACCCAGCCCTTGTAAATTGTTGTTAAGGTTTTGCTTTAGATTTAGGAAGATTAAGAAAAGAGATATACAGGAAAATTTATGTTTTTCCATTTTCTGATTTTAAATGGATTTTTAAGCAATATGAAATTACCTTTTGGTGGCTTGGGCCCAAATTTGTTCAATATATAAACTTCTACAAAGTGCTGTTTGGAAAACAGAAGCATCAGCATTTTAAAACTTCTAACAAAATTATGTCTGTACTAAATATGCTCCAACCACACAAACTTGCCACACTTCTGTCTGTGATATTTCCATAACAGATGACTGAGAAATCAGTCTTCTTTCTTTTCCTCCACCCAAATGAAACTTCCTACCTAGATAGCATAGAAGGAGAAATAACTGCAAGTAGAAAGGAAGGATCTACTTGGATTGTTTAGAAACAGAGTATGTGAGGCAAAGATAGTGCAGTGAAATACCTGTATGTGATTGGGCTCCTTTGTTTGCAATGAAAACAGGGTAGAACTAAGACTGGTTATACACTGCCATTTACAGATGTGGTGGTATTTGTCATGGAATTTGTCATGGCGTGAAACCAAGGGATAAAATCAATCTTCCATTTTCTATCTTACATGTTGGAAAACATTAGGCTTATAAGGGGATCTCCAAACATATGGACATATCTAAAACCTCTATTCCATAGTTATCTTAAATTCTTTTTCATTGTCTACTTTCTGCTTCAAATTAAAAGATTTCCAACTATCAAGCAGTTTTAACAATATTTGTCTAACTACATAAAATGTTTTTGACACAGGTGGTATACACTTGTATATTGTAAATTATTTATGGGCCACTTGTCTCCAATTATTTATTCTAAATGGATAATTTATTTCAAAAAAATAGCATGTTCACTTCCTCTGCTGTGGTATCTGATGTGATGATCATAGTGGGTTTTCCTGCCCACTTCACTGCTTTCTGAAAGGACAGAACTTGTAACGGGTCCGGTTGTTTTCTGTATTAAAATAAGTTGCTGAGAACTGTAACACGAGGGTGTGGCTTTTTCTTTAGTAGTATGAAGTACATTCTTTTGTAGCGTAGTACAAATACGAAGGAAAGGGAAGATACAGATATATTTAGCAGGCATCTTGGAACAGATGTAAGATGTTTGGACTTTCTGTCACTATCAACTTCAGCATTTCTTCCCGTGCACAGAAAAACGTAGATGTTGTGTCATAACTCATTTTCAAAAGGAAACTTACGTGTGTCTCTAATCTCTCTGGATATCATTTTGTTTTTCCAGGTGCTGTTTTAAGAGTGCCAGATTTGTAGGATACAGGCACATTTTTTCCCAAAGTGTTGAAGTCTCTGTGACTCATGGCTGCCTGTTGTGCCAATAATCTCAAATTCCCCCTTCTTCCCTCTGTGCTGTTTTCCACAGATTATTTATTGATTTTGTTTGTCATTTCACTTGTGACCGTTTTGTGTTGTAGGCTTTTGTGAGGTCATGGAATACAAACACAACGTGCCTGCATCTCCCTCACCTCTTCTGTCATCAAACAGTAATTTCTAAAAAGCTACTTTGTATTAATAAAAATATTAAAACATCTGAGATGGGCAATTTATTAGAATGGCTTAATGCATTTTCTATTCCTTTCATATGATGGAAGGTCACTTTCTCCTCATTTTTATTTTAGGTCTTTTAATATCACAGAATTATAATCTGGGTACAACAGGTTCAATTCTTTTTAATGTCCATATCTTATGAATCTTAATGTTCTGCAGTCATGTGTGGACATATTTTACTAGAGCAGTTCACATTAAATCAATTTCTAATGTTCATTTGAATTGCTTTAAATGTAAAAATAGATGTAGAAGTTATCCTGAAATGCAAACCTTTGTGGTTGAGTTAATGAGTATTTAGGTCATGTTTTTTCAGGCTTCCAAGTAAATGAAAGCAATATAATCAGTTTTAACTCCTGATTTGAAACTAGAAAATTTAAAGCTGATGTCTTAACCTGTTAATGCTAACCTACTGTATCTCACTGAGCAGCTGATGCTTAGGGGATGCTCCACGTTCCTGTTGGACACTGTAAAACTTATGCATGAGGCAGTGAAGTTTCTGAGTAGTTCCTTGCACTCATATTTGGTCATTTACAAGTGTTCTCTTATGTTTTATTTTACTGTTTTTAATTTTTATGCCACAGTTGATGTTGTTCAAGGTGAGCCAGGATCACAAATGTAAACTTAAGAAATGAAACCTATTTTTGTTACCTAGTGTCAGGGTGCTACGCTCTGTATTTGTCCTCTGGTTTATTACTCTAGTAAGGAAATTTGACGTTTTGCAGGGTTTATTGCCTGTCACAAGCAATCAGCTTTCCTGTTTGCTGCTCTTGGCCTGCCTCCTGCCCCCACTGCCTGTTTAGTGACTTAGTGTCAGCCTGTGTTCTCATAATTTTCTTTCTGGATCTTGGGAACTGGGCATGAGGTGGTGTTAGTGACTCAGTGCAGCTTTTGAACAGTGTTGTATATTCCCTGGCTGTATCTATGAGAATAAGCTTAGCTTTCCCTTTAACGTTACATCAGCTACTTCCAAATTTGTTTTGTCTTCATTTTTCTCTATGGATAGAGACTCTTCACTGGAGACATGTTTCAGGAAGAAAGTGTGACCACTGGTGCCAGTACAATTAAAGTGAGTTGACCTGAGCTGTTCTGCTTGCCTGAGGTGGATGGGCTCTGTGGGGCTTTGGAACACTGCCTGAACGAAAGAGAAGTGCTGTGGAGCCAGTGCGCAGTGGGGTGATGGATTCTGTCCTATTCTTGTGGGTTCTGGACAGCCTCTGAGGGCGTGGGGCTAAAGAAGGTGATAGCAGCGCCTTTTACTGAGATACAAGTGCTATGGAGCAATAGAGAATGACAAAGAAGCAACACTAGTTCACCTCTTCCAGTGAGGGTTCAAGAGGAGAGTAATCTCTATCCAGAGAGGTACAGCTCCCTTGGCTGCTAACCCTTAAATGAGGGTGAGGAGGGATGAACCCTGGGTCCACTCTTTCCAGACTCAGGTGCATTGCTTGCAGCTGAGCTCCCTGATTTATCCACGCCTTCTCGCCTGGAGCTCAACCAGGCTGTGACCTGGCAATTCCACCGCAGAGGAGAACAGCAGTTGTCTTTCCTGTGCATATACAGAGAAAGAAAATGGACTTCTGATTCCAGAAATCCCAAACAAAATTTTAGAGCTTACAGAGCAGAACAGAGCATGCACATTATTTAGAACTCTTGTGGCTAAAATGTAACAGCAACAAATAGCCCATTGCGATGTAAAGGCTTTTGAGATCACTGATCCATATAGGCAGTGTGTAAAACTTCTCCCAAACTTCTTTTTTATTAGTATCATCAAATCAAGACTCAGTTATTCTAAACATCATTTGAAGTTTTTTCACTGCACATTTGTGAGCATTTGAGGACACAAACATAACTACATCTTTTAAACAGAAGCATTTGGCAGGACCATTTCTGACAAACACTGAGAACGCTACTTTGAAAATTTATGTAAGCACAAAGGAAATGCAGCAACATGCAGCCTGTAATGAGAAGGGGAAGTACAGAACTTCTGACCTCCTCTAGAAAACCTCAAAAATACTTGTTTAATTTTGTTTCTTAAAGTTCCACAAGCGTCCTGAAGTCCAACCAGGGATTTCGCTATCACTATTGATTTAATATGAAAATGCTCAGATGCTGTAGTGGTGGATGGCAGCATAAACCACTGATACATCGATTAGTAGAGCTTAGCCTGGGGGTGTGTATTAATTCATTGAGTCTGATCTCTCGTATCACAAGCCATTAAATTTTACCGTTACCTCTGCACTGAA